GAACAACCTCCGAAGGGTTGGACATAGCTTATGCATGAAAGAAAACCAACAAACGGAAGCGTAGACAATGTAGCACACCAAGTATCGAGCCGAGGCTCTGATACCAACTGTCACGGGCTTACTTTTTCAAAGTAACGGCCGTGCGGCACTAGCACAAAACAACTAACGATCAAGTGCTAGCTCAGCCTTAAGACTCCCAAAGCGTGCAAAGCTAGGTGAGACTTTAAAGAACGGAGGCAAAGGAAAACTTAAGAAAGGTTGAAAGTGAAAGAATGATGAAGGCACAAGAGAGCTTAAGAAATGCTTGAGAACTCTACTCAAAGCTTGGATGGATTACAAATGAAGGGGGCATGGGGTATTTATAGGCAAACCCCCAAGTCCTAAAGAATTCTAGAGAATTCTATGTACATAATAAAATAATGGAATTCTAGAGAATTTCTATAATAAAATATTTTAAGTTCAAAATATCTACAAGTCTCTAGAATCTTCCACACGGTTCTAGCAAACTCGGGTAGCTTTCACACGGTTCCACCCATTTCTAGAGAGTTCCGGGCCTCTCTAGAAAATTCCAGTCTTCAAGATTTGACCGGAGAATTCCACAAGGCTCTAGACCGTTCCGTCCCATGTCCGTCTACGAAAATAGCCTGTTTCGCAGCAAACCACCCAAATTCGTAGTGAAGAAAAACTGTCCGTGACACAAAGACGTCCTTTTGTGCACGATCCAAAATTAGACCTTAAACATCACAACGACGTCGTTTTGAGCATGATCCAAAATTAAATATTAAACATCAACGACGTCGTTTGATGCCCCGATTGTCTACAAAACTTGCACGTTGTTTTAACGTGTCTTCCCTTCCTCCTCCGCTTTGAACTTCATCCCCCCTTCCTATCCCAGAATTTTCTATTTGCACACCTAATCGGATTCCTCCACCCCAATTCATCACAAATCGGAAAACATGAGCCACCAATTATAGAGCATTATAATTGATGACACCCCTTTCTCTTTTGGCGTCGTATTGCACTGTTTCCCTTTCTCTTCCACGTCGATTTCAGCTTCAATTTTCCGCGTCAATTATATGGTGCCTTAGGTGCAACCGGTGGTGATACTGGAGGTTTTCATCGTGGTGCTTGGGGAAGTTTTCGTGGTGCTGCTGGTGGGGTTGTTAGCGGTGGTATTTGTAAAGGAAATTGGCAGCGTGGGGGGATTTGGAGAGTGGTGGTGGAGGATTTGGAGGGCCGACGCTGTTACCGATTTGCCCGGACGGATTTCTTTTTTCTCTTTTTTTCTCATATTACATGATAGAAACGCTTTGGATTGAGAAGCCAAAATCAATCCCCAAAAAGAAAAGTTTAGGGATGGGTAAATCATCGAAGAATCTACAACGGAAGTAAGCTTCTTTGTCTACTTTCTGTTTGGTTAGTTGCTCATTCCGATGATATTTTTGGGACCTTAGTTTGATGAGACTCTGGGTTTAATCTTTTTGTGGGTTTGTTTCATCCTATACTTATGTGTTTAGACTATTATATGTTTCTGGAATAGGATAAGAAAGTAAAGCAAATTGTTTTCATGTCATGCATTGTTTGAAGTAGTGCAGTACATGATTGTTTGTTTTCTCTTTAACTGATCGGAAGTTGGTGTGGTGGTGTTTATCTGAATATGTTAGATGTGGTTTTGGCCAATTGCATTAAAAGTAAAGCTTACAAAAGTTTGCATCTGCATTTGATACTGCTGCTGTAAGTTTTGCTTATATGCCAACAATGTTGCTCGCTAAAAATTCCCCCTCATGTTATTTAGATAACTGCTACCAAACCAGTGCAAATTCCCAAGAAACCTCGATTGTCTGCTATCAAAATGGTGCTGTCAAAAATCAGTGATTTCCTTCCCTACGAGAAATAAGGGACCTCAATGGCGGGCTTAAAGGATAAGCAAGTCTTTCTTTCGCCCATCATCTTTCTTTCAATTTATAGCCTTTTGGTGTATATGAAGTGTAGCTCGAGCTTCTCCTATGATTTAATGAATGTTCAGATGGATGATGCTCAGTCATTATTCGAGTTTCATTATTTGCTACTCCCTTTCTGTCTCTCTTATTTTTATTTTTTATGGTTTTTGTATGATTGGCTGCTAAATGGTTTCTGCTAAAGATATTTGTCCATATGGGTTCTATAAACGTAAAACAGCTTAAGACTAATGCCAATTAGTTTCAGTTTAATAGGCTACTATGTGGCAACCTTCATGATTTTCCTCCTCTTTCCAAAAATAAAATAACAATGTTGTGCATCTTCGCTGGGAAGTGTGGTACCTTGTGTCCTCTGTGGAAAAAATGTGGAAAGACTTGCAGTAGCTCCTGGGTCTTTTGCAAATCACTGCCTCTAATACACAAGTTTGTACTAATTGAAGAAGACTTTGATGTTATTGGTACAATCAGAAGTTGATTAAGTGCAAGCTAGGGTCTCCGTTTTGGATATTACTGGTCTTCAACAAATCATTCAAAATTTTGCTTACGGATTTCAAAACGCGACATTCCCTTTTACGATTTTGCGTCTTTGTTGTGTCTACTTTACTACATTAAGATTTTTTTTGCTTTATAGTTCTATATATTTTGGATTTTGCTTTCTGCCTGGATGTTTGGTACAAAGTTTTGACAGAATTTTTACTATCTGAATTCCCCTGTTTTAGTTATACATTTTTTCCTTTGATCTGATTGAATTTGGGTTGTTGTTTTCTTCTTTACCTGCAAGTTCTTACTTCTCAATATAGCCATATTTTGATCAAGCCAAAACTTGATTGGTGCTCTGCTAATCTATTCGTCAGCCTGGTTAATTAGGATAAGTTGTTCAAGGCTGTAATGCAACCGGTTGGGAGGTGAGATGAAGCAGACTCTAACCATGATGGCTTATGCTTTGCACATTCTTGGAATATATTTGTTACCTCCTTCTTATGGCTGATTATGTTGGCTTTTGGTGTCAGGTTGAGCGACATAATTTCTGGCATGTAAAATTAATTAAGAGTGCTATGTTTTTGTGGTTAAACAGTTTGTTGCATCTTATCTATTATAGTAATTTCATGTAGTACCATTAAAACCTCCAACTCTGGGATGTTTTTATTCACTGTTTGACACCATATAAAATTCAGATAATATTAGCAATTAATCCTAGAATGACATAATGTGCCTGAGTGAATGAACAAACCTCTAAGAATATGTGCACTGTGTCTCTCATATTGCTTTAGTTGGTTTAGCTTCTTCATGTATAGCTTATGTCCAATGCTTATTAATATCATTCTAGTTACTATGTGCATTGTCGAATATTGTCTGTAGGTATCGAAGATTGACATAAGCAGGAAACCCCAGTCGATCCTGGGAAAATCACATGCTTTAGTATACTCTGGACCAAAAGCTGATTTTGGTAACGGAAAGTCTTGAATCTAGGTTGATGTTTTTGATGGTGGTGGAAAGGATATTTTGGCAGAATTTGCTCCCTTTTTTGAATGGAACCTTCCATTAAAAAGGTAAACTCATCTCTCATATTATTTCTCCTGTATCTTTTTGCTGCCCATTGCTTGCTTGGAAAAACTTCTTAAAATTAATAGAATTTCCTTGTATATCTGTAGGTGTGGCAATATTATAGTTTTGACTACCATATTGTAGAGAATTATGAGGTTAAGCTTGCTGGATTCTTTGTTGATATAATGCACATGGCGGGACTATGGAATTCATCCAGAAGATTGGAAGGTGGATATTCTTTGGAAGCACTTACTGGCGATTTCCATTTCATGAGTGATAGTAATCTAGAAGATGAACCTAATTTTGTTAAGGAACCATTATCGAGAAAGTACGAAAAAGATGTTAAAAAGTAAAACTCTTAAAGAGTGCGGAAATTCACAAATAAACTAGACCGTTGAAATAGAAATCCACTACCTTATGAACTCAAACACAAAATCCTAATAATTACCCGGATTGAATAACTTAATCTTATGAGAAAGATGAAGCCCTTCAATATAATCGAATAATCACCCATATAATTGACGATACATGCTATGAGCAAATCACTCACTTAACGACAACAAACCAAACAAATATATATGCTATATTGGTAAGGACACTATCATAACCAAGGTAATAAGCAATCAAAAACACATTATTCATCATGCTATTTCCATGCAAGCTCATCTATATCAAATAGATAACCAACAAAGTATCCTACAACCCTAGGACACAAAGAACTCGAGAAAACCAAGCAATTAAACATGCTCAACCTATCGACCTTCATATCAAAAGATTATAAGAAAAATTAGTTTTAAAACAATTAAATCATGCAACACATAAATATGATAAAACGGTTTAACTCAAAGAACCAAGGCACACGTTAGGCTCTAAGAAAGAAAGAAAGAATTAACCATTTTTCTTCTTCAAAACAATAAAAAAACACTCATTGTTTAAGAAAAACCCACAAAGGGTTCAAATCAATTTATTTGATTCAATAACTCATAATTTTCGACACACTCTTTTGTGATAGGATTCGGCCACATTATATAGGCAAGCTTCCTTGCTCTTCAAGACAAAATCCCTACTATGTAGCATTTACTTTAGGCCAAAGAAACTCTACTTTCCTTGTACTACTCGATCCAATTCACAAAAAGGAAAGACGTAGTCAATTTTGACTCAAACTCTAACTAAACTTAACCCTTAAGCAAAGTAATTAACTTTACTTCTTTTAATGGTAAATGACTATTCTACACTTAATGAAATACTCTCTAGGGCCGGCTATACATTAACCTTTAAACCCTAATTTATGAAAACCCTAGGACTCCCTCTCGGCCACCCTATTGAAGTTACCTTTAGGATAAACTTTTTAATTTAACTCTAGATAAATAGACTTATTATCTATTTACGGACTCAACAATAATTTAAATAAATATATTTAAATACTTCCCGCTCGTTTCTTCATCTTCTTTTGGCGCGCACGGCTACATTCAAATCTTCAACTTCAATTGATGTCTTCTACATACTTGAATGTATATCTTCAATCTCTTCAAGATACTTGCTCTTCAGAACATACTCATCTGCATCAATCTCTAGGACATCACTGGAATCTTCATCACTTGAATCATTCCACTTGCTAGGGAAATCACCACTTAACTCCTCATACACTTGTTGATGATTAAGCGATTCTTCTTCAACCTCATTGTTCCCATTAGAAGGCATTGGTGAATACTTCTTCGAAGAAGGTCAAGTTCTCACAGCAAACTTTCTTCTATTCTTAAACGGAAACAACCTTGGACCACCAACTGACAAGAACATCTTTTGCTCCTTCATTTGATATTGACTTCGATGTTAAGCTACATGATTCTCATCATCCTTCCCTTGTTGAAAAGGATTCGTCCTCGAATCAAGACTTACAGCTTTACCTACAAAATGAAACAAATATAAATCATGGTTAGCGTTGAGTATTCCTCCTACACTACCACTCGATTCACCCTCCTCGAATGTACCTTCCTTTTTATTTTGTTGTATATCCTTCACTTTGCACAATGCTCTAGCAAGCTCACGTCTATCAAACATAATATGCTCACTCTCCCATGGTGATAATGATCTCAACTCTACCATATTCTCATGATCTCGATATAAGAACACATTCAATGAACCAACAAAGACCATTCCCAACTTCTTAATAAAAGGTAGACCCAAGACAACGTCACACGCTGTCATGGGTACAATATCAAGCGACTCACTCGAAACAAGATCTCCAATGCGAAGATCCACCTTAACACTCTGAGTAACACTCAATTCCATTCCACCATGCAACCAACGTAATTTGTAAGGTTCACTTAAGTCATTCACCTCGAGTGATTAACTCTAACAAACTTTTCACTTATACAATTGATGCTACTACCACCATCAATAGCCACAATCAAATTATCAACCCAATCTATCGCCCCTATAGTACGAAAGACATGATCTACGTTTGACTCAACACAATGTGGAGTGTATTTCAAAGCAACACGTTGTTCTCTCCAATTATCATTACACTTCTTCCAAATAGCCCTATTCTTTCGCAATTCCAACAACAAAACTCTTTGATATGCACGATATAAATCTTTCTCTCCCATCAAAGACACATCATCTTTATAACAAGAATTCAAGCCATTCAAGAATCTCACAACTAACACTTCATTCAAGTCATTATTATTACCATTCAAGCACAACTGCTCAAACTTAGCAATATAAGACTCAACATCCATGTCATCTTGAACAAGTTCATACAATTCAGCTTGGGTTTCATAAACAATGTCACTACTCCAAAACCTATTGTATATTGCTTCTTTAAAATCATACCAAGTATGCTCACTTTTATCTATATTACGCAAGTATAGCACACTCTAATTCTTAGCTATATTTCACAAACCTTGGATAGCAATAGAGATCTACATTATCCTTAGTCACATTAAGCAATTCAAACAAATTCTTAATAGAATTAATCCAAGACTCCACCCCTTCACAAATCCCACCATAAAAATTTGGAATTTCAAGCTTTAACTTACCAACACACGCAGAATCCTTCATTGCATCCATTCGATAATTTGCCTCAATAAAACGTTGGATCAAATCTCGTTGCATAGACTCCATCTCCTTGAAGATGCCCCTACTCAAACCTTCATACTCTTGCTTAAGGCTTTGAAGCTCTTGTTCCACACAAAGCACCTTTTCACTAAAGTTCACCAATAGCTTGTTGACAACCTCATCATGAACTCCAATATCACCCACCTCAAAGCTCTTCAACAATGCTTCCAATTCTTTCACTCGCGCCTCAATGACACGGCATGGACAACACATCTTCGACTTATCAATCTCTTCACTCATGATGATGAGCAAAAAATTACTTTCAACTAGAAAACTCCCTTGGATTTTTTATGATAAATCCGAGAACCCCCCTCTCGAATCAAAGAAAGATTTGAAAATTGACACTCCCCAACTAACTAGCAAAAACTCTCTATCACCTTTTAAGAGGTGATCTCTTGAAAAGAAGAAGAAAAGAGATGGTTTAGTTGTTCCTTCAAACTTAAGACCTTATGCAAGCTTTAGCTCAAAGATCAAAAAGAAATTTGGAGGTTGGGATGTATGAAAAATTCAACCAACACACCCCTTTATATAGGCATGAGATGGCATTTCCTACAAGGACTTTCTTAAAAATAGGCTTAGCTTTTAAGTAATTTTCCTATTTTAATAATTCAAAATTTTCCAATTAATATAATCCTAAATAATTTCCAAATTTTCATTCAAAAATTAACACACAATTCGGCCAAAAATATTTTAAAAACAGCAATTTTAATAAAATATTTTACTTAATTAATAAGACTCTAAATTTTAGAAAACTTTCTTTAAAAGAAAACCCTAATTCCCTAATTTTACTTCAGCCAAAAAAGACACATAAACAAACAAGTACCATACGTTAATAACTTTTAGGAAACTCCTTTAATTCCCCTCCTATTATATAGGTAATTAACAAATAAAATCAGCTTTCTTTTGGTATTTCCAAAAAAGAAAACTCGGCAGACACACATGTTCACACAAGCAAAAATTTCTTTTCCCACTCAAAATAGGAATCAAAATTTCGGCCACTCCACAATTAAGTAACCCTCAAATTTTATTTAATTAAAATCAAAGCCAAAAACTTTTAATTAAATACTAAAAACCCTCTTTCAATCATGTAATTGAAATTCAAAAATACTAATCATGCATTCAAGCAAATTTATTTAATCTACCAAGTTCAAGAAACTCAACAAACGAAAACCACATAAATCACATAGACTCAAAAAATCTAAGACCTAATTTTCGAAAATATTTTGTTTAAAAACACTTAAAACAATATAAATTAGATACTTTTAACACAAGCAATCTCCAAAGTACGTCATGAAAACTCTTATACGTGTAAACCCTAAAGTATAAACTCTAAAACTCATATCTCATTCATATGACTCAACAAGAATTAAATCACATAGTCACATAAAAGATAAACTCTTGAAAAATCAAATTCCAAACCAATGAAGAATCAAATCTCCACAAGAAAGGTCACGTTATTCTTGAAAAAGACTTCAAACAATTAATCACTAACCCAAAAGTTCAAAGGACACATTGATCTCTTTAAGTTACCTTGCACATATATTGAATTTAAACTTTTAGAAAGCTTTAAATCAAAAACACAAGACTCAACGAACAACCCGACAAGGAAGTCGACGGAAACACACAAAGTCGACGCACAACTCTACAAGAAAGTTAACGAAGACACTTCACATAGCACATTAGGTTGAAACTACACTAATTCTACACAAGACTTAATCTAATAAAACCTAATAGCGATTATGGACGTCTCATTAATTGAAACACCACAAACCCTAGATTGTACTCTTCTCTAATTCATAAAGAACTGAAGTCAAAAAGGAAAGATCATCACTTCCATACACTAAGTAGTATACTTTCATGAATACTCCACATTTGAAATCCATAGATCATAATTCAAAGAATCCTAGACCTATACACACGCACACACTTGCTCATGTATACATAATATCTCTCAAAAAGGTAAGGCTATGCGCTTTCGCTTTTGGCATCAAACCCTAAATCAATTAATTATAGTACACATAAGTTCCAATTCACTTGATCATGAAGAAACCAATCTCAAACCTCAACCTCAAAGGAAATCTCGAGTGAAGCCCTCCTTGAATCAATTTTTACACAACTTCATCAAGACTCACTAATTTCTTGAAACCAAAACACTCAAAAATTCATCTTAAAGCAATACCTAGTTTTTGCACCAAATATTCAATAAAGAAGAACTTATGAAATTGTAATTTAAATATAGTTTGATTTACTTTTCTCAAAACTCTTTTCGAAAACAAAAAGAACCTTAATCAAAATAAAAGATAGTCCCACCAATTCTAGCTCATTGCTAGGGTTTCGAACCATATTCCAAAAGGAATCGGATATCTTCTCAACCTTTGCTCTGATACAAAAAACTGATATCAATCTAGAAGATGAATCTAATTTTGTTAAAGGAACCATCATCGAGAAAATACGAAAAGGATGTTAAAAAGTGAAACTCCTAAAAAGTGCGGAAATTCACAAATAAACTATACCGTTGAAATAGAAATCCACTATCTTATAAACTCAAACAAAGCTCAAACACAAAATCCTAATAATTACCTAGATTGAATAACTTAATCTTATAAAAAAGATGAAACCCTTTAATGTAATCGAACAATCACTCATATAATTGACGATACATGCTATGAGCAAATCACTCACTTAACGACAACAAACCAAACAAATATATATGCTATATTGGTAAGAACACTATTATAACCAAGGTAATAAGCAATCAAAAACACATTATTCATCATGCTACTTCCATGCAAGCTCATCTATATCAAATAGATAAATCAACAAGGCATACTACAACCCTAGGACACAAAGAACTCGAGAAAACCAAGCAATTAAACATGCTCAACCTATCGACCTTCATATCAAAAGATTATAAGAAAAATTAGTTTTAAAACAATTAAATCATGCAACACATAAACATGATAAAACGGTTTAACTCAAAGAACCAAGTCACATGTTAGGCTCTAAGAAAGAAAGAAAGAACTAACCATTCTTCTTCTTCAAAACAATAAGAAACGCTCATTGTTTAAGAAAAACCCACAAAGGGTTCAAATCAATTTATTTGATTCAACATCTCATAGTTTTAGACACACTCTTTTGTGAGAGGATTTGGCCACTTCATATAGGCAAGCTTCATTGTTCTCCAAGACAAAATTCCTACTATTTAGCCTTTACTTTAGGCCAAAGAAACTCTACTTTCCTTGTACTACTTGATCCAATTCACAGAGAGGAAAGACGTAGTCAATTTTGACTCAAACTCTAACTAAACTTAACCCTCAAGCAAAGTAATTAACTTTACTTCTTTTAATGATAAAAGACTATTCTACTCTTAATAAAATACTCTCTAGGGCCGGTTATACATTAACCTTTAAACCCTAATTTATGAAAACTATAGGACTCCCTCTCGCCCGCCCTATTGAAGTTACATTTATGGTAAACTTTTTATTTTAACTCTAGGTAAATAGACTTATTACCTATTTACCAACTCAACAATAATTTAAATAAATATATTTAAATACTTCCCGCGCGGCTCTTCCTCTTCTTTTGGCGCACACGGCTCCATTCAAATCTTCAACTTCAATTGATGCCTTCTACACACTTGAATGTGTATCTTCAATCTCTTCAAGACGCTTGCTCTTTGGTACAAACTCACTTGCATCAATCTCTTGGACATCACTTGAATCATTATCACTTGAATCATTCCACTTGCTAGGGAAATCACCACTTGACTCCTCAGACACTTGTTGATGATTAAGCGATTCTTCTTCAACCTCATTGTTCCCATTAGAAGGCCTTGGTGAATACTCCTTCAAAGAAGGTCAAGTTCTCACAGCAAACTTTCTTCCATTCTTAAACGGAAATAACCTTGGACCACCAACTGACAAGAACACCTTTTGCTCCTTTATTTGATGTTGACTTCGATGTGAAACTACATGATTCTCATCAATGAGTGAGGCAAATTGGGGCCCTGGTGAATAATTGATTAGTAGGTGTCGATGAAAACAATTTTTGGCCACAGAAAAGTGAAAAAAAAAAAAGATGGTTCTGAGGGCAAAGTTGTCACCATCCCTTCTGTGGAAGAGTTCCACAGGGCCGAGCATATGCCTTGGATTTGCTATTTTGCGTTGGATTCAATAAGCATATTTAGACTATATGAGACTTTGAAATCTAAATTGACCAGAACCGAGTGGAAGCTGGACGGAGTGGCAAAATAAGTTTGAATTTATCATGTTAATAATGCAATTTTTTTTTTCTTTCCTCTTTAGCTTATTTTTAAAGTTGCAAATTGAGTTTGAGGAAAGTCAAGTCAATTCTAGCTTCTTTTATACATTTGTTTTGAATTTTTGAGGTAAAGTAAAATTTAGTTTTCAAATTACGCATGTATATTTCTGTGATTCTATCTAAAGTAGAACTTGAGCATTATTTGGATCATTTATCATATGGGAAAAACTTGACATGATGTAAGATGTATAACCTTCCTCTAGAAGAAGCTAAGGCAAAGAGGACTCCATAAGAAGCTAAATTTGGACAAAAAGGAAAAAGTACTCTCTAGAAGAATTGTTACCATCTAACTTGCTAAAGATGGTGTAAATGAGGCATCATTCGTCATGTTACATCTCAGGTAAACAGAAGTGTGATTTGATTAGATCATAAATGTAACAGAGTTCTGGCTTAGCTCAATCCCCTAAAGAAGAATAAGACAGACAGGAATGAAAACAAAGTAAACTCTTATCCAACTTATTAATTTGACTTTGATTCATATGTTTCTGTTATTGGCTGAAGCAAAGCAACTATTTGTTTTCATGCGTCCTTTTTTCTTTGGTGTTGTTCACCACTTTATCTTTAATCATTCTTCTTCTTTTCAAGTACAATTCAATTGTTAATTTAAATAATTGTTTTACATTCACAACATTATCAGAACTTGCCTTTTTTTTCAACGAAGTTTATCTAGAAACAACATAAATATGCTCTAACAAATATAACTCGGATACATGATGTGCTTTTGAAATAAGAAGTGCCAACCAAGTAGTATAAATACAACAAATGGCTCTTCATAGCAAATCCCTCCAGATAAATTTACACGCCACCTACTTATCTGGATTCTCCAACTTATGCCTGCCCGAACCCTTTTCTCACTAGTACATCGTATATTTTATTGACCTTTGTGGGATCAACGTTGAATAGCCCATAGGCGTCGAAACTCTTCGTAATGTTGCCGCTTAAGACTCCCATGGACATAGTCTGCAGCATGTTGAGATAATGTACAAGAAGGATCCTAATCTCACCACACAGTCGTTTCTCAGCTTCAGAGAGTAAATCAGCTCCCAAAAATCCTGTCACATCCCAATGATCTGAACCGTTAAAAACAGTGATTCCACGGATTGTTGATGGAATATCTTTTGCTCCAGATTCTAATACCACAGGACCTCTTATAATTGCTCGGGGACTATCAATGTCCCCTTTGAATTGAGTAGCTCTTAGAGAAGAATCGTCTGTGATAGGATATGTAATTTAGGTAACCCTAATTAGGGTTTCTGTAGACGGCTAGGGTTTCTGTACACATTGCCTATATATATTGTACCATACATACATGAAAATATACACACAAATTCATTCTTTCATGGTATTATCCGCTGATCGATCCTCGGTCTCTCAAACCCGTTCAGCCTTCTAGTTTTCTCCTTAGGTTTTTGCTTCTTTTCTTTCTTGGTCGGTGGCTTTCTTTTTCATCCACCAAAACCCAGCTGCCTTGTGCATCACCAACTCCACGCACTTCCTTGCAGCTACGTCAAAAAAAAAAAAAAACCAACAGCAGCCTGCTTCTCTTAATCCTCATCATCATCGATAGCTTAGCGTGGTTTTTTATTTGCGTGGTTCTTCTGGTTCTTTCCTGGCCTCTCAAAACTTTTAGGGTTCCCGCCCCCGCCGCTGGTTCTTTCTATTTTCTCTCGCCTTTCAAATAATAATAATAATGATAATAATAATAATAATAATAATAATAATTTCTCCTCTGAAACCATCAGTCACTCCACAGAATCCTACTTTAATTCGATCAGTCACTCTTTCATAAGTTTCTGTTTTCCTACTCTAATTCGTGTCCCCACAAAGCAGCATAATATTCCTCCTCTTCCGTCGGTCTCATCGTAATTCATGGCTCGCTCCACTGAATCCTCCGTCATCAATGAACCTGTGACCGAAACTGTGACTAACAACCCTTCGTCCAACTCCTCTTCTTCCAACTCCGACGCTCCGTCCCTGTCTCATCTGGTCGCCGCCCTCCAGTTCTTGACTTCACCAACTACATGCTCTGGAAGGAGCTGTTTCTTCCTGTGTTTCGCGGTCACAGGGTTATGGGCCATATCGACGGCACCGCTGTTTGCCCGCTGCCTACTCTTCTGGCTGCGGATGGTTCTTCTTCCTCCGCGCCTAATCCTGCTTTTCAGTCTTGGACTCAGCTTGATTCCATCGTTCTCTCTTAGATTCAAGCCACGGTTTCAACCAAAATCTTGCAAGCAATTATCAAACCCAACTCCACTCTAACAGCTCACGATGCCTGGTTAACAATTGAAAAATTGTTCCACGATCAACTCGGTTCGCGCCTTCTCCAATTGAAACTTCAGTTTCATAGTCTCAAGAAAGCTGAATTATCTATTGATGACTATGTAGCAAAACTCAAATCCTACGCCGATTCCTTGATGGCTGTTGGTTGCCCAATCTCACAAACCTACTTAGTTCTTCAGATTATTTTTGGCCGTCCCTCTGAATATCAATCTATCTCAACCACCATAAGTCACAAAGTCCCGCTGCCAACCTTCGTTGAGGCGCGTTCTATGTTTTTCTCCATGAAGTACAGCTTCAAAACACAGCTCCCGCGGCCTCTCTTTCCGCAGCCACCCCAGCCTTGGTTGCTTCCCCTTCAACCGACTCTCCTCCGCCGCCTGGTTCCCCTATCTCCCAGCCCTTCTCCAACATTCGGGGGCGCGGTCGGGGTCGTTTCCAGAATTTCCACAGTAGAGGTCGCGGACGTGGCCGAAATCAACAGAACAGTCAGTATCAAAACATGTTTTACCCTTCTTATTCTAATTATCAAGCTTCTATGTTTTCTCCTAGGCCTCGTGCTCCCTCCCTTCTTGGTCCGGCGCCCATTTGTCAGTCCGGTCTTCGCTGCCAGGTATGCAATCAACCCAATTACTCTGCTCGCAACTGCTTCCAATTTCAGCAGCCCGCTTACTATGTCGATCACTATAATCAACTACCACCTCCTCCGTCTGTTGACTCCTCTTGGTATATGGATACCGCATGTGGTAACACTATGACTCCGACCTCAGGTATCCTCTCTAATTTAAAACCTTTCACTGGTTCCACTAAAGTTGTGATTGGGAATGATAATGCTTTACCCATTAAATTTGTTGGTCAAATTCCTTGTTCATTGTTTAAATTTCCTCATGTCTATCATGTTCCCTCTATTCCAAAAAATCTCATCTCTGTTCGTTAATTTGCTACTGATAATCAATGTTCCCTTGAGTTTGACCCGTTTGGTTTTTCTGTGAAGGATCTGTGGACGAAGACCCCTCGTCTACTTTGCAATAGTACCGGTTGTGTTTACTCCTTCCCGACAGCTTTGCTACAACAATCTCTCGCACCATCCTCCTTGTCATGTCCGGCATTTGCTGCCTCTGTCTCTTCACAGATATGGCATCAACGTCTTGATCACCTGCACTCTTCAGTTCTCTCCAGTTTAGTGTCTTGTCAAAGTCTTCCTAGTTCTGTGGCCTCTTCAAATTAGCTTCACTTATGTCAAGCATGTCAACTAGGAAAGCATCATAAGGTTCATTTTAGGCCTTCTTCTTCTGTAACTTTTAATGCCTTTGATATTATTCATACCGATGTTTGGACCTCACCTTGTCTCTCTTTTAGTGGTTTCAAATAATTTTTGTTATTTCTTGATGATTATACCCATTACTTGTGGGTTTATCCTCTTAAAAATAAATCTGAAGTTCCTCAAAAGTTTTTTGAGTTCTATTCCCTTATTCAAACTCAATTCAACGTTTCTATAAAAGTTTTTCAATCCGATGGTGCTGCTGAGTATGTTCGTTCTCAATTTCTCCAAACTTTTCTTAAGTCAAAAGGGGTTTCTGTGCGTATATCTTGTCCATATACTCTTCAACAAAATGGCAAAGCCGAGCGTATGAACCAAACCATCCTTAACATGGTTCATACCCTTCTTCATCAAGCTCATTTACCAACTCAGTTCTGGATCGAAGCTTTAACTACTAGTATCTACCTCTTAAATAGGCTGCCCACTAAATCTAAAAATGGTGCTGTTCCCTTTGCTCTTTTGTTTGGTCGCTCACTCAATTATGGAGACCTTCGGATTTTTGGTTGTTTCTGTTTTCCAAATCTTTCTCACTTAGCCTCCCATAAATTCAGTCCTAGATCTGTTCCATGTGTCTCTCTCGGTTACCCTGAATCCTACAAGGATTATTGCTGTTTTGATCCAGTCTCTCAAAGAGTCTATATATCCCGTCATGTTATCTTTGATGAAATATCATTTCCCTTCCCTTCGTTGTCTTTCACGGTTCAGCAAAATCTTCCCACATCTTCACATTTTAGACCTCCTTCCTTTCTCATTCCAAAAACCCTTCCACAATAAGTGCCTTCATCTCCGAATAAGTCTCAGACATTTGTTTCCGTGTCACCTCCAACCATTGTCACACCTCTTTCAGACAATCTAGTTTCGACCTCTTCCTCTTCTGTCCTACCACCTCATCCTATGGTCACTCGAAATCGGGATGGCACTCGTAAACCTAAACAGATTTTATCTCTTACCACCACTACCACTTCTCTTCCCATAGAGTCTCATTCTTTCACCGAAGCAAATAAATACCATGAATGGCATACAGCTATGAGTGATGAATATAATGCTCTTCTTTCCAATCATACATAGGATTTAGTCCCGCTTCCTTTCTCTGCAAATGTGATTGGTTCTAAATGGATCTTTCGTGTTAAACTCAAGTCCGATGGCTCTCTTGATCGTTGCAAAGCACGTTTGGTCGCTCAAGGTTATAATCAAAAACCTGGCATTGACTACGATCAAACGTTCAGTCCTGTGGTTAAACCAGTGACAGTTAGGACTGTATTAAGTATTGCTGCTTCTCGTAAGTGGCCTGTTCATCAGTTGGATGTTAAAAATATTTTTTTGCATGGTCATCTGAATGAAACTGTCTACATGAAACAGCCTATTAGCTTTGTTCATCCAGACCATCCTCACTATGTCTGTCGATTGAACAAGGCTCATTATGGCTTAAAGCAGGCTCCTAGGGCTTGGTTTCACCGGGGTACTACATTTTTGCTTGCACAGGGGTTCAAAGGCAGTCGCTTTGACTCTTCTATGTTTGTTTATTCTACGGGTTCTGATATGGCTGTGTTGTTATTGTATGTGGATGACATCCTCTTAACTGCCTCCAGTGATCGTCTTCTCACACGCCTTATTCAGTCTATGAAAGGTGCCTTTGGCATGACCGATCTTGGTCCTATTAGCTACTTTCTGGGTGTCTCTGTATCTCTGCATTCCGATGGTTGGTTTTTGCACCAACGAAAATATGCTAAGGAATTATTGTCTCGCAGTCATCTTACGGATGCTAACCCTGTTGCTTCTCCACTGGGTCCGGCTTTCCAGTTTTCTATGGAAGGATCCCCACCTTTTCACAATCCAACTCTCTATCGGAGTTTGGTGGGTGCCTTACAAAATCTCACTTTCACTCGTCCGGATATCCAGTATGCGGTGAATCTTGTCTGTCAGCATATGCATGATCCTCGAGAACAACATTTTCAGGCGGTCAAGCGTATTCTTTGATATATTAAGGGCACTCTTCTCTATGATATCCATCTTCGTGCTGGTTCACTTGATCGTCTTGTTGCTTATTCAGATGCTGATTGGGCAGGGTGCCCTACGACTCGTCGTTCCACTACTGGGTTCTATGTTTTCTTGGGATCCTCCTTGGTCTCTTGGTCCTCCAAAAAGCAATCTACTGTTTCGCGCTCTTCTGCAGAATCCGAGCACCCGCGGTTGCTTCAGCCTTAGCTGAGATTATTTGGTTGGAACATCTTCTTTCTGAGCTTCACATCACTCTTCCGAACTTTTCTGTTATATTGTGTGATAATGTTTCTGCTACCTACCTCGCCGCTAATCCTGTCTCTCATGCCAGAATGAAGCACATTGAATTAGATATTCATTTTGTTCGAGATCGTGTTACCGTTGGACTTCTTTTCGTTCGCCATATTCCTACACAGTCTCAGCTGGCAGATGTTTTTACCAAATCCTTAGCTAAAGATAAATTTTATTTGTTTCGTACCAATCTAGGCATGATATCTCATTCTGCTACGATTGCAGGGTGATGATAGGATATGTAATTTCGTTAACCCTAATTACGGTTTCTGTAGACGGTTAGCGTTTCTGTACACATTGCTTATATATATTGTACCGTACATACATGAAAAAATACACACAAATTCATTCTTTCAGTCTGCTTCCCTTCTTTTCTGCTTAATGAACCTTTCAGCCTCAGCAGATGTGAAGCAGCCGGCTGCCCGAGCCTCCTGAAGATCTTGAATTCTTTACAACACTCGATTTTCTTCAACAAGGCTTCTAAGTAACTCCTCATGCTCTTCTTTTGAATGGAATCGCATAAATACTCTATAGCATTGGCATATGTCTTTCTCTTCCCGTGAAAGTTCTTTTTCAAAATTATCAGGATACAGTAATCCTCTTTCCAATGTGAAGTCCTTCCTGCGTTTTCTTTCATCCAGCCTTTTATATATGCGCAAAACCCTCAACTTCAGTTCCCGTTTAGAATTTGTATCATTCTCCTTAAATTTCATGTCAGCTAATAACTGCTCAGCATCATTGTCATACTCAATTTCAAACTCTTGCCTCTTAAAGTTATAACCACTAAATTCCGCTATGGAAGGCCCCTTATCACCAGATGTCCTCGGTTTCTTCTCTCCAAAACTCCGGCCTGTAACATCTTCAACCTTGATTCCTTCATGCTCATCCTTACTTTGTTTGAGACTTGATGCCCGCTTAGCTCCTCCAACAAATTCATTGCCCACTACAAAAAAAAACAGGTCAGTACACACAGACGAAGTCATGGGTAATAAGCCTGTGTGTCTGTGGGTAAATAAAATTACCCACGACTTTCCCCAGACCTGTTTTTGTGGAAAATATGCCCGTGGAGAAGCATCTCCCACGGAAGTCAACATTTTTGTGGGTAATTCATCCACAATAACAATATGTGGGAGAGTTCGTAGGAGAATCGATTCTTCATTCCCACAAAAGAATCACCTACGGAATCCATGGGTAAAATAAGAATCTTATTTATTTTAATTTATAATATTACCCACGGCTGTCGTGTGTAAATTAAAATTCTTATTTATTTAATTTATAATATTACCCACGACTGTCGTGGGTAAATTAAAATTCTTATTTATTTTAATTTATAATATTACCTATGACTGTCATGGGTAAAATAAAATTTAATTTTTTTATAATACTTTTACCCACAGAAGTTTCGGTGGGTAAATTACTCATTTGCAAAAAAAATTATCCACAACTTATGCAGTGACATGTTCAATTTTTAGCTGTAATTATTATTTATATTTTAGCCCCTGATTTTTAGCTTTATAACAAATCCAATCCAACAAATCTAATAAAAAATGTCAATTCAAAAATTATATTAAAAATCCAAAAAACCATTCTACAAAGTTGTAAAGAACAATACAATACAATCCAACAAAAGTTCAAACCATTGTCAATTTACCAAAAAAATTTAAAATCTATTCTGAAATGAACATTCTAAACCAACCCTATCACGGTATCACCTTTTGATCAACACTAATCCACTGGTGTGTGGTTGTCATCATTCACAACTTCCATCCGAATCACTAGCATTAAAACCTGGATCATTTTGCCCTTTCGAACCTTAAAGACTTTGATCATCCTCAACACCAAGATCCTAGAATGAACACCATTTTGCTTGATATGATGGATAAAATAAAGCCTCTATCATCTGACAGTAAGGCAATTATAACCTTAATTGATCCACATGAGTTAAAGCCAAAGAGTGTAACCAAATGAATACAGTAATAGCAGTCAGCAATTTATACCAAGGATACAGTAAGTTGAACTAAAAATGATAATGATAAATTCACAAGTCCAACATGAAATGTATCAGGTAAAAGGTTTCATATTTGTAGTTTCAAAAGTAAATAAAAAATCAGAACAAAATACTCAACTTCAATGGACGAAACAAAAGGCAAAAGAAGAACAAGAAAAACGAAGCAGAATACTAACCCCACTGTGATTTTGTACTGGAAAGCGTGTGGCAGCTTGTAACCAGCAAAAAGGATGGATGGGTCTCAATGCAATTGCCTGATTTTTTATTCACATCATCAGAAAAGAACAGAAATGCCTAATTCAGATTAGGGTTCAAGCGCAAAAAACACAAATTTAATAAATAATAATAACAACAAAAGAAGGAGAACGGAGTGAGAAAGAGAGAGAAACCGTTAATTGAATCCGCTGAAAAGAGCTTGAACTGACACATCATTCCCCTGTAATTAAAATCGTTAACTGAATCCTCAAAGTTTATTAATTAAGTCGGGTGAATCGCAATTTCATATTAGGAGAAACAGAACAGAGTTTAAAACTGAATAGCACAGTACCTCATTTTGATCAATGTTGCCTCTGGAAAGAAGTAACTGCTGCTGGAGTAACATGGCCTTAGCACTGCTGATCTTAGTCATTTTTAGTATTTATGCCCTTCTTCTGGAACCTAAAGATTTTATGTCAGTCTTAGAGTCTAATCATGTTCATATTGTACCCAAGACCTCCTTATGCTGGCAGATTTAGGGTGCGGAAAACAAGGCCGAATAGTTGGACAGAAGTAATAAAGCAGAAAAGAAACATCAACTACTCAAAGGAATAATAAGATCGAAATTGCAGAAACGAACCGCAAAACACCAATAAGTTTGCAACAAAAAAGCATTGGAGGAGTACATCAATAGAGCAATACCATCAACAGATCAGATTAACTATAACTTACAACCTTCTAATATTACCCTAAATATTATTAGAGAAAGAAACAAGCCGCAGCTTGTTTTCACAAAATTATAACATCCATTCTCCAATTCTGATAACTCAAGTAGCAACAAATAAAGAATTCATGCAAAGACGGCCAAGGTGAAATTAGCAAGTAAACATTTTTAAGTATAAGAAGAATGGTAGTTAACCACAGTAAACACAAAACAAGTCCTCAAATAATTGCAAAACTGAATCAAATAGTTCATGAAACTTTCAGAGCTCACCAAAGTCTCTCCAACCCCGTGACACAATACTACCACGTAGAAGATCAGCTGGATCATCCATACACTTCAAGATATTAACACCATATCAGTTTCAAGGCATTCCAAAAAATCTATACAAGACTCCATCTTTGGAGCGATCAGCTCCTCCGCCAATCAAACCACTCTCCACCGACCTAAAGAAATTATGAAACAACAGATTTAATAAGTTATCATCACAAATGCATTAAAAACAATAATTAGATGCACTACCGTTTCAAAGGAAAAATTGAAACAAGGCACCCAAACGAACAAAAAATCCAACCTTTGCCCAAAAAGATTACTGATTCTAACACGCAGAGGAACACCAGAATGGAAAAACACCAGTGTACTAACACAATTACACAACAAATGCAGGCAAGCAATAAAGAAACTGCATATCAGACCTGGACATATATCAAATTACAGCCACTCTGACACCAACTCCAGCTTGCCAGAGTCTTCTTCGCCGACCACTGTCCTCAGATCAGCTCAAAAACTTTGTCGCCGCCGACAGAAGCGCCACTGATCCTCCCGCACCGAAGCGCGAAATAGAAGACACCAAACAGAAGCAGCCAAAAAGCTCCCGGCCGTTTTTTGTCCAGATCTGGTCATCAAGATGGACTGCCGAAAGACTTGGCCGCTTAACTCCATCTAATCGCCACTTTTATTCATCACTTCCGGCAAGAAGGGGCGTGACTCTGCTGCTCCACAGTGACCGTCGGCGACACAAACAGCTGCTCCATCGGCTGCCGATCGATCCTCCCCAGACCAAAGCCGAAGATCCAAAGATCCGCTGCACAAGGGCCAACTGTTCCACAATGACCTCTCCCACACCCGAACAACCGGCATCCTAAAGCCGGCCAAATCTACCGATCTGAAGCTCTCTGGTATTCACCTCCAAGTATTCACCCCTCAACACGGTTGGTGAAAGCTGGTGACGACCAGAGTAGCAGAAAACATAGGAAAACAGCAGCAGCCGGATTGGTTTACTGGCGTCGGCTTTGAACGGCCGGGCTTCGCACATATTTGAGAGGCGATTTTTTCTCCACCGTTTGAATGGGAGCAAATGGTGGGTGTGTTTTGGGAGGGGAAGAGTTTTGAATCAGAGTTTTGCGTCAATGGCTGGTTGGGGAAGGAGGATTTTTCTCCGGCGGGCTGTTTTAAGGGGGAGTGTTTTTATTTTCCCAAGTGTAAGGGGGTTTCAAGGAACTCCAGCAAAAAGCACAAAACTCCCGCGTTTTTGGGTGTGGGACAAAAGCGGGGGGGTACTTAGCAAAAAGCGCCAAATTTTTGCAAAGCGGGAGTTTTCCCCCGTGTTTTTTACACAATAAATTAGTTGTAGGCATTTTTTTTTTCGGAAGATAATTTTTTATTTTTATTTTCAAGTTTTGACAAATTAAATCTCTAATGTCAAAATGGTCCTTATTAAATTACAAACAAGACACCCTTGAATTTACAAAGTGACACCCTAGAACTTTTTTTCTTATTTGAACCATGTGTCAAGGTAAATATTTCTATTTATACCTTTAATGAATAATTTTTCTATTTCAATTTTAACCCAAATAGTATACATAATGCTTAAATTTGTACTCCCCGTCCCAAAATGACTTTTCAATTTGGTCCAAATGAATATCAAAATCAAACTCGTTTAAAGAAAAATGATGTGATTAGTAAACATTAATAAAAATAAGTTTATAATTCACTTTCATTTCAGCCTTGAAATTTTATTAATCGTGTACTAAACTGATCAGTTATCATTACTTATCAAGTCATAACGTCACAAACATTATCAACGTATATGTAACAACTAAAAAGTAATAATACTATACTTTAATGGTCATGATCAATATCGATCATCAGTTGTCTTTTTAAAATCAAGTCTAATTGTATTATTCAAATAAACTCTTACTGTAATTGTCATATGATCATATATGTGATCACAAACCTTACCAATATATATGTCACAACTTATCCAATCATAATTGTGATCATAGACATTATCAATATATATGTCACAACTTACTATCTATATATAACAAATGTTTATATTAGTTTCATATATATACGTACATACTTCTCAACAATAATTGATTATAATAAGATAAAAAAAAAATCAACAAACACATTACTTTAAATCAATTAACAGGATCAAACTATTAATTAAAAAAAGGAGTGCTTGAAAATTCCATTTTACCCACGACTTTTCCGTGTCGTGGATAAACTGTGGAACTATTATTATTACACACGACTTACACACGAAAGACATCGTGTTTAATTTCTCACAACACATTTTGTGGGTAAAACGTGGGAAAATAGTTGGCGGGAAAACAATACACACGAAATACCCACAACAAAATTCGCGTGTAATTACCCACAACAGATTTCGTGAGTAATTTGTGTCAAATCTTTTGGTGGGAAAACATTACCCAAGCTATACCCATTTTTTTTTTTTTTTAGGGTAATTTCGTGGGTGAATCGTGGGGTATGTTGTGGGTAAAGTTAAGTCCCGATCTTGGTCAATATTTCGTGGGTAATTCGTGGGTATACCGTGGGTAATTTCTCACGATTTACCACTGTACGCTGAAAGCAGTGGGTAACAGCTGAGTTTTTTGTAGTGGCCGAAACTCGAAACTGGTCCCGAGCCTAGCTCTGAATTCAAGCTAAATGCGGAAGGCCCGACTAAACCATCTCCTCTCTGATCTTCAACCTTGATTTTCACCGGAAGCAAAGACTCATCCTTAACTCCCCCAGGAGTGGAATATCCCATCTTTACTTCTCCATGTTCACTGGCTATGGCAAGGAGCTCTTCCCCATTCTTTCCCATAACATGAGACATGTCCGGAAGAGGAAAGCATGGAGAATTCATGTAAATAGCATTGTAGTGCGCAATACATTGTGATTTCCTCTTGGTTTCAACATGTTCATCAACTTCAGCCCAGTTACCTAGTCAATACATTTCAGTTCCCTCCAGGAGTAGAATTTCCTCATCTGCATTCCAGTCAGGATATTAAGGAAAAGGACAGAGTATCCATGACCCTGTACGGATGACCACTCTTGTGAGGATGGACCTCGGCTCCAATTGAAAAGCACTCCACACAAAACTCAAAGTCAGCATAGATGACACATTTAATGCTAACTTTCCCAGATATGTCCTTATTGCAATAATTACAATGGTATAAAGCCTTCCCTTCTGTCTTGCCTTGAGCTGCGGTAACAGTTTCCACATTTTCGACGTTGGAAGCTCTCTTTTTCTTCTTTGACCTTTGGCCGGAATCTTCATCGGCGGAGTGAGGAACAGCTCGAGACCGGCCCATTCGTTATATTTCTGCGTGGAACAAACTTTTTTAAAATTAACGACCGAACGGAAGATTCTTGCAGCGGAGGAGGCGGAAGCGAGTTCAGCCGCAGGGTCGGACAGATATTATAAGGTAGACAACCAGCCACTGGGCTGCCGGCGAATAAATTTTTTGCGGGAAAAAGTAACGAAACAAAGGATTATGACGGGCAATTTGCTAGAGGCAGTTTCCAGTATAGATTTCTGTGACGCGATGACCAGTGTCGACGTTTGCATCGCAATTAAACCAGAAATTTATAAATTCCTCCCGAAACTATAGTCAATCCATATATCATCCCTAAAGTTTACACCCTCACCGAGTTTAGTCCCAAAGCGTTAAGATTTGTGTATTTGTAATCCTCCTCAGAACTTGCCTAAGTAGAAATAAAAAATAAGTGATAACTTAAAGGATGGTGGTTTAATTTGGAGGGGAAAAAATGTCAAAAAATAAGAAATGAACAAGTAAGGGTGCTTTGAATCAAAAGGGCTTTTATATGCTTCGTTGTTGTCCCTTGTCCGAAGATCATAGATCATAGAAAAAATAGTGATATACAAATTGCAAAATTTCATATTTCTTTGTCAAAATTTAATAAAAATTAATTTTGTTTTAAAATCATCTATATTTAAATTTATCTATATTACATTGAAAATACAAACTGAACGCGCGACTACAAACAATCTAGTCTCCTTAATAAAAGAGGGTTTAGTAAAAGTTATTAGAGTGTTAAAATTGTAAAAAACGGTAAAAATGTGAAAGTGTATAGAGATTTATGTTCCGTTTTTCAGACCGCCCATACAAAACCCCGACGAACAAACCACCCCGCCATAGCTCTTTCTCCGCAAAATTCAAACTTTTCCGATCAGGTCCTTCAGCTTAATCTTAACTAAAAAAACATTAATTTCTCTGTTCTTGTACTTATGAATGTGCCTGTAAGGCTGTAACCTTGTTTGCCAGCACCATGGTGAATTGATTAGGTTTCTGTTGCCATTGTTGTGATTTCAAGAAGTTTTCATATCCCGTAATATGCTTGAGGATTATATTGTGTTTTTTTTTTCCCCCTTTTTTGCTTCAAGGATATGATTTGTGGTTCTGCCTCCGGAAATTTTCTTAATTGATTGAGTTAGGGATTGTCCTGTATTACTTCCATAGTTATGTTCTGAATTTGGGGTTTCAATAGGAAAGCTTCCGAATTGCTGAACTTGGGGCCGTCAAGTTGTATGGAATCGAGTGCTTCTCAATTTCAGTCACAGAATATCAGTGATATCGAAAATGCTGCTCAGACTGCTGTGCTACATGAGCAAGTATTGGTCTTCTTACTACAACGTGTTCCTTTTTATTTTTCTTATTCCTTTTCTTGAGATTTTTCGTCATCTCATGAATTTTCCATTTACATTCATTCAGGAAATAGCCACTCAGCAGATTATACAGAGCCAGAGGTTTGTTTTGGACCCTTTCTGTAGTATGCTAATCCAGATTTCTAAGAGAGTAACAACTGTTAGATTTATAGATTCTGTGTGGTTATGTACTTCCAGAGAATCGAGGTCTACAAATGGAAGTTTTGATGACCATCCGGACATCCTTGCTGGGCGCCGTGACCCAAATGCTTTAAAGGTGTTTTAGGCTTTAGATTCGCTATGACTTTTTACTTTTTTGGTGGTATGATGTTGTAACGTTTCAATTAGTTTGCAGTCTATACGATGTGGTTGTATTAGTAACTTGATGTTTTTGCAGGAACATTTATTGAAATTAACTAACGAACATCGTAGTCAAACGGCATTAAAGCGTGGAACATCGAACACTCCTGGAGAAGGTTGGTTCAATTATATCATTTAGTGGACTTGCTATTTTTTTTTTGTGTTTACATGAACTGATGATTGAAATGTTGCCTCCAGTAAAGTAGAGACTATTCTTATTTGTTTTATCCCTCATATTTGTCATTCTTAGCATAGTCATAGATGGAGTGTCAATGGAAGATCTATTATGTGTAAAATGTAAAAGTATACACCATTTCAGAGGTAGAGAGTTGTAACTAATTTGTGTTTCGCCTCATATTTGTCATTGTAATCTTAGTAATAGATGGAGTGTCAATGAAGATAAATGATGTGTAGAATGTCAAAGATCTACATATTTATTCTTCTGTGCGCAAATTCGTAGTCTTTATATGCTGAATTCTACGTGGAACTAGAATATTGCTGTAACTTTCTTTGCAGCTTTTATCTGTTTTGTTAAAGATCTACTCCCTCCATTCCAAAATAAGTGTCATCCTACACTTTGCACATAGTTTAAGAAATTCTTAAATAGGGTAATAAAATTACTTGAATATCCTCAACCAACCCCATTAAAAAAATGTCAGCCAATAATATTAACTCTTTTGAGGGTTATTTGTGAAACTTTGAACAAAAAGTGCATTGAAATGTGAGAACGACACTTATTTTGAAATTTTTCTATTTTGTTAAAACGACACTTATTTTGGAACGGAGGGAGTACATATTTATTCTTCGTTTTCAGCATTTGAGATTTAAAATTTTTATGATTGTGCATTTGGAGCTTTCTGTCTCTGAGAAGTGGCTGTTTTGTTTCCTTTACTAGGTCATCTTGAAATTGGAAATGGATATGGTGTTCCAGGTGGAGGTGCTTACTACGGTGCTTCTAATCCCAACATCACTCCCTCAAGTAAGAGTATCTAACAACATATGTCATTGAGTTCTATCTTAAAAATTGCTCAACTCTTATGTCTTGTTTTTAATGATGCTATTTATGTAGCGAATGAAACAACTGGTCCAGAAACAAACCAAAGCAAAACCGAGCATACTGGTGAATCTAGAGAGTTGCCTGAATATCTTAAGCAGAAGTTGAGAGCCAGGGGTATCTTGAAAGATGATCCTACTACGAAAAGCCAAGCTGCATCTGATAATGCAAGTGAATTCCCTTTTCTGTATATACATTTTTGTATTTGGTTTAATGTTCACGTCATCTATATGCCGTCAATAAAGTAACAAACTTTCTTGTCAGCAAGTTTTTTATAGGAAAAAGATAAGTTCTTCTGAACGTATTTGTTATCGCATGTACTCTACTTTGTGTGCTTTTGGTAATGTGTGCTGGAGGTGATTCATTTGCAAAAGTTCCATTTGAAAAGAAAAATGTCTCCTGTTTTTGGAGATTTTTACTATTGCCCCTTCTCTGAAACTTATCCCTTGAACAAATTCTAGAATGCAGGATCTGTTTTGCATCAGACCATGGGAATTGGGAGTCTGCCTCCGGGATGGGTAAGGATTAGTTTCTGTTCATATGTTATCCTTTTTGAGCAAATCCTTTTCCGATTTCTGATAAATATGCATATAGCCATTGATGTGTTTGAATGACATGGACAGTGCATCTTGAAACGCGAAGAGGACTATAGAGAGAAATGACTAATATTGCTGGGTAGATGATGGTAGTTAATTTAACCACTTCTTGATTTGTTATATCGAGTCATATGGTAGATGATGGTAGTTAACCTTGTAATTTTGCAGCTAGTCTATAGAACTTGTTCTATATATGGAGTCTTGTTGGTTTTTGGTTCTAGGATTATCATTGATCTTCAATGTTGTGAAAGAAAACTTTCATGCTTTCATCGTATTCCTTTATGATTATTATGTATCACTTAAAGTTTCAGTGAGGTATCAGAAGTTGAATTTTAGTTTAGCTTTTCAAGACTCCAGAGTAGAAGTTATTATTATTACTATAATGTTTCACCTCTTGATTTGCTCTTTGGATTGATCAATTTAGATCGAGTCGAGAGATCCTGCAAGTGGTGTTTTATACTATTACAATCAACAATCTGGGAGAAGCCAATGGGAAAGACCAAGTGATTCTGTTTCAGTCTTGCCATCACCACTGTATCCACAGCTTCCAGAACACTGGCAAGAGGCACTTGATGAATCATCTGGTATTTGCTCTTTTCTTTTCCCCCTAATTTGTGGAAGGAATCATCTGGACCTTTTACTGACATAACTATGCACCACGAAAATTAGATAACGGCATAGGTTAACATATCATGTTTAATGCCTTCACAAGCTCTTTTTAATATTCTTGTATTTGTAACCTTTGGTTTTTAGACTCTACTTCAGGAAAAGGTTTTCTTCTTAAAGAATTGGTAGAATTTTTCTCTTTTCATTATAGTGATTTCTTTTGCCTTCTGATAGATGTTGTATGTCAGGATGTTCAAAGTGTGTAGTCTTGCTTCAATTATGCCAGTGAGTCTGAGCTTCATCAGGTGGTCATGATTGCATGATGAGTAAAGACAATTGGGTAGCAATTAGCAATTAGCATAAGAACTGTTCATATGTCGCAGTTGAATGTTTGACTGCTAATGGATTCTGTTATTTTTAGTAATAGATTTTAAAATGTTACAGGAGAACGTCTAAGAAGGCTGAGGTGATGGGGATTCTGTTATTGTTGCTCTTACAGCAGTTATCTGTTTAAGAAAGAGCCATCCCGTTGGTTCTAAAACTGTAACTCTGTAATTCAATCATATATTAAAGTACTTTTTCAAAGTTAGGCGTACGACAGAAAAAGTTCCAGGCATTTGAAATTTCTACTTTTATTTTTGTGGGGCTTGGACAAATTTTACTGAATTCATGGTTGAACTTCTTACTGACTCTCTATCCATCTTAAATTTTTAAATTCATGTTTTTCCACAGGTCAAAAATATTACTATAATAAGATGACGAATGCATCTCAGTGGGAGCATCCTGGCACATCACAGCAGATCCCCCCTCAAACTGTGAATGATGACTTATCGATATCGAAGAAGTGCCTAGGATGTGGTGGATGGGGTTTAGGTCTTGTGCAAACATGGGGTTATTGCAAACATTGCACCCGGTATGTCCCTTGCTCTTCTTGTCACCTGTTACTTGAGATGAAGGAAATGTAAGACAGTTGTTTGTCTGTTGGATCTAGATCCCATATCATGTTAACAAATGATCTTGCTTTAGGGTCATCGGCACAGTGTGCTGAATAAATGTATCCTGCCGCTAATATAGCTAATAAATATGGGCCTAGAGTTTTTAATAGCTCTATATCATTGTCTTATAAAGGTTGCCACTTATGGGGGAGGGGTAATTAGTAAGGTTACAGACTAAATTTAAGGATGGCCTCTAATTGCCTTGATGAAAGCTTTGCCGTATAAACTTAAAAATATATTGGCTTTCGTTTTAGGCTGGGCTGTTAAGTGTGATAAAACATGGAACTTGTTAAATTAACATGTAAATTATTATTTCATTTGTTAAAAGTATTGGAATGATTCCGATTCTTTCATTAATCATCCTAGCAAATATATTTGAAGTTTCGCCTCAAACTCTTGTTGATCTTTGACTTTTCAGCAGAGTGATAATGTGAAAATGCTTTTCTCTTGAACTCCTTTTATATTTTGCACAGTAATAAATGTTCGGACCAACTAGCTCAATAATTGACCAGAAAGCACATTAACAGTTATTTACTTATTTGTTTTTAAGTAAATGTTCAATTATATCTGGTTTGCTCTTTTCTTGTCTGATCCTTCATTTAAAGAACAGTAATTGTTATAATTATCTGGTTGCTATTTACTTTAAAACCAGTCAAGGGTCTGTTTCTTTGTTACCTTTAATTATACTAATAAAATATCAAGAATAACTATTGTTGCCCTCGAAAAAAAAGGATAAGTGTTTAACAGGATCTGTTTTTACAACATTCTCATGGTTTTAACAACTAATGTAGGTTAGGATATGTCATTTCAATCTGGCTTAGAACGTGAGTGATTGCCTGGTTCTTTAACTGCTGGACAATATAAGAAAATTACATATCAAGAAGTGCAAATTTGTGAACTTCTATATAGATTCTGACATGCTATTTTTGTTGGCTCATTGCAATTGTTTGGAAATTACTATGGTTTTTTTGATGTTATTTTTATTTTTTGTTAGTTTGTTATTAAATTGATCTCAATACAGCTTTAAGAGTTGCTCCTTTATCCATACTGCAAATACTGGTATAAGTTTTTATCCTTCAGTTTGTAGTATTATATATGCATTATCACAGACTGTTCTCTAGGGTTGAAGGTGTACCTTAATAAATTCAGACTGTTCTCTAGCGTTGAAGGTGTACCTTAATAAATTCAGTAAGTCACTGAATGCTGTGTAGGAAACAAGTTGAATTTCTTGTGCCACATAGGTGACTAGGAGCGGGTAAAGGCTTAGTTGTTGTCATTTTTGCTGATGTTTATAATGAAAGACTTGTTGCTCATCTGATCGATGCTAGGTGTTCATAAGTTCATAGATTATAGTGATTCACAACTAATGATTTTTCCTTGTCGATAGTGATTTGTAGCTATATGATTTTTCCTTGTCGATGTGTTTTATAATGGCTGCTACTCTTTATGCAGGACTCTGAACCTTCCTCAAAGCCAATACTTGGAAGTTCGGATGGAGAATAAACAGCAAAATTTTAATGCTCCAAATACTGCAGAAATTCAAGATAAAAAATTTTCCAAGCCAAAGTAACTGCCTTTTCTGCAATTTTCTTAGCGATGTTTTTGTTACAAGTGGCTTTTTGAAGGTTCTTGGTTTGGGTTTTTCCTTTCTTAGATAGGCATATCAAATGGTATGTAAAGTAACACAATGCAATTGGTTGTGAGCCCTCGTGGAACCTTTTTTGTGGAAAGGGAAAACAAAAACCTAGTCATGTTAACTTGTGGACACAACACATGAACATGCACAAATAGAAATGCTTTTTGAATTGTTTTTGGGTTAAATTGGTGGATATATGTCCTTAATTGTTCTTCAATAGTCATATGTTTTGTAATTGTCACCATCCCTTAGTAGATTCGACTTCTGAACAGAAAATATTTGGAGTTGTTCATAGTGCCTTGTAGAATTGACTAGCTTGTGGTTTACAGGTCCAACACGAAACCCCCAATGGGCAGGGGACATAAGAAAGAGTCAAGGAAACGTTCATACTCAGAGGATGATGAATTAGATCCCATGGATCCAAGCTCTTATTCAGATGCGCCTCGTGGTGGTTGGTATGTTAATTGATTTTTTATGATGAAGCTAATGTCTCCAATAAACAGTTTCTCTGTGTCTGTCCATTCTTGTTTTTATATTATACTGTTTTCTATTTAGATTATTTTGTGAATTGTGGTAGCTCATTTTTATCATTATTTGCTTTTCTATCTCAGGGTTGTTGGTCTGAAAGGCGTGCAGCCACGGGCAGCAGATACAACTGCAACGGTATACTAAGTCTAATTTGTTGATTACTGATATTTGTTGGTCTTTGATGTTCCTTAATTCTTTCACCAGACACTGTTAGTTATTGATTCTTATTTAATATTGACACTTGTGAATATAATTCTTGCTTGTGGTGCAATGAGCAATTGCCTTAATGAAGCATTAGTTTTTAAAGCATCCTCTCTTGTAAGGCGCATAAGTTGAGAAGTGGATGATGTAAGGAGAAAAGGTTTGGTGGAGAAGTCTTAGGGAAACCTGCTCTTCCATTCTATATCACCACTTTTATGCACTTCATTTCCATTCTATATTAGCACACACACTGCATTTAATTAGACAGACCTTGTTTGTTTCGGATGCATAGATTTTTATACTGATATGGTGGTCGTCTTTCCCCTCTACATCTTATTGTTCTGGCTCAAATGAGTATATTCCAAGTTCATCTGCATTGTATAAAAACTCAGTGATTCAGCTGTTGCTTGTATTTTTGATGTTTTGAGCGTCCTTTAGTTTATCGAATTGCACCTGAAACATTCTCACTCTCGCAATTCCGTTTATCCCTCCCCATCCCCAACATGATTCCTTTGTTTTTCTTTTGGATACAGGGTCCTCTCTTTCAGCAGCGTCCATATCCATCGCCCGGAGCAGTTCTTAGGAAAAATGCAGAGATTGCTTCGCAGAAGAAAAAGCATAACTCCAATTATGCACCCATTTCTAAGAGAGGTGACGGAAGTGATGGACTAGGTGACGCCGACTAAGCTAGCCGGAGCATGTATCAAGCATGGACTTGGTTTTTATGTTGTACACTTGTATCAAGCATGGACTTGGTTTTTATGTTGCACACTCTTTCGAAAATGGTCGATGAGAACAATGTTCCTCAGTATTGAAGTCCATTGCTATTTTTGGGGTTTAATTTTTTCTTTTTCTTTTTTTTTTTTTGAGAGAAGGGTTTAATTTTTTCTTTGTAGTACATGATTCATTAGTATAGGTTATTTCATAATCGTTTGTCAAAATCGAGTTGTATAGTTGATTTCATCGTAGATTTTACATTTGTGGGTTGTTCATCATAGTGCTTTAGTTTTTTATTTTGCTCAAAAAGAATTATGACTTTTATAATCTTATAATGTGTATTAAAATATCTATTTCCTGTGACAGAAAAATAATTCTTATCAGAAACGTATAACATTTTACATCAATCAAACAAATTAAAGGTATAATTTTTTGGTGCCCAGCTTAATAATCGAGTTTAAGTATAACAAATAATTAATAGGTTACCATGTTGGATAGTTAAATTTTATCTTTTTGAAATTGGACTAAGTATAATCCTTTGGCAACAAAATTTCATGAAATTGAATTTCCTGGGTAGTAGTACAAGATAGAAAAATATTTTCATTGTACCCAATTTTTACTTAAATTTATTTGGGAATTTACTATTTGAGGTTTTTTTCCCCATTGTCAGAATTTTTGAGTTTTTCACTCTAGATATTACTCAATTAATAGATAATTAAATAAATTTTGAACCAAAAACTTCTATCGAAAACTAGTAAGTTTACCTTAGAAAAAAAATTCTACTAATCATTAACTGCTGGACTAAGTACAAACAGATCAAATTGAACTTGACATGTGATATTCAAAAACTAAATTTTAGGGTTAATAAAACTCTAGTTGAAGTTGCATTTGAGAACTCCAGCATTTGAAGTTGATAATCCGTATTTGAAATTTAGAGACATGGGAAGACACATATCCAAAGTCTTTCCAAATTATACGACATAAAATTAAAACAAAAATCCGAGCAATAAAGCTAGTTATCAACTCAAATTCATATGATGATATGGCGAATCAGCTACCCTATGCAATTATGCATTCAAGGTTCACCAATGCAGATGATTGAATGTGGAGGCATTTTCCATATGCAACTAAGACGCAAGACCGAGTGAAATAACAATAAAAAGTATCTCCACGGAAGGGCCTCTAAAAAGCATATCATTCCACAGGACAGTAGCAAAATTGTTATATTTTTTCAAGACAATAATAAGCATACAACTCATCATGGTTCCACAAACATTAAACATAAGTATCTGGTTTGAAGAAATTTGATCAGACAAGGACTAAACATATTAGCGATAACGTCTCCCTCTGGATTGAAGAAATTTGACCAGACAAGGACAAAACATATTAGCGATAACGTCGGAGGGAGAGAGTCTGGTTCCTCTTCCAGGTAGCCCTTCTTGATGGTCGTGCTTTGTGATACCTGTGTCCTTTCCCGTGCAGACCCCTGTTTTCCTTACCAGCTGAGGTGAGTCCACGAAGCTCTCTGTGCTTGTGAACTGGATTGCAAATCCAGTTGATCCTAGGGTCATTGCGGATAGCAGCATGGGCAGGATCGACCAAGATCACCTCAAAGTACTTGTAAGTGGAATCCTGCATTTTGAGAAATGGTAATGAGTTCAAACACAAAACCACAACAGTTTCAGGATAAGAACAATGCACATTGCACAATGAAAAGACTAGAATTTTAAAATACCCACTCAACAATTTGATAATAAACAAAGAGGTATGCCTTGCCAAAGAGGACACCAACCAATCTTTCATCAGAAAGTTACAGTTGAAAGGTAGACTTAGTCCTCAAGATGGGAACGAATCAGTTACTGATACCCACCTCATTAATCCAATAGGAGTTCAGCACTCTGAGACCACCAAGTTTCCTTCCAGCTCTCTCCTCCGCAACAGAACGCTTGCTGCGCTGAAATTTCAGTTGAGTAACACCCTGGTTCGTGGGCTTTCCATAGACAATACCCTTGGGAACTGGCCTCTTTCTGCCACCACGTCTGACCCGAATACGGTAGACCACATAACCCTGAAAAGAGAGTCAGTCAGGGGCCATATTAGAGGAACAGCCAGGAACTATATCATTACAAAGTTATTAAAAAGAAAAAACAATTCATATCAACTGATAGGCAGGCATTTAAGTGGGATAAGATGGCACAATGCTCAGGACAAAAACTAGATGCATACATTCTCATCGATACATAGTATGGGTGAATAACAAGAAATTCATGCCCTCAAATAGGCTAAGTGCAAAGAGAACAAGGCTAACACACGTTCCCTTCAAATATAGACATCAGCAAAGCTTATCACTTATAATAAGAAAAGTCAATATGACATGAAAGAAAATGTTTGAAGTTCGGTAAGCAGATATGTGGACAAGAGAACAACAACCGGCCAGTAAACTTCTATATATATATTGATGTAGCTACAGCCATATTGGCAAATCAAGATGGAGGGCACTTTCATAAATCCACCCTTCCCTTGGTACATGTAGCATTCTAACATGTTTAGATCATTTCAACAGAGCCCATAAGCCAAAACAAGCACAGACCTTCACAATCAAAAGCCCGACCAATGCAATACAAAAATAACCAAAACCATCGAAATCTGATATCAAAAAGGCATGCTCAATCTTAGGCGTCACTGAAATGACAATTATAATTTGACGAAACACAACATCTATGCATTCAAAATGGTAACTATTAAACAACCAAACAAATCAGAAGCTCAACACAGAATCACAAACAATAAAAACACCAACGAACCAAAATAGGAACTGATAGAACACAAAAACAGGTAATGATTAAAGGACCTGCTTGGCCTTGTAGCCCAAGCGCGCAGCCTTATCAGGGCGAGTGGGTCTGGTAACACGAACAATCGAAGGAAGCTGGCGGTACTCCCAGCAACGAACCCGGAGCAAAAACCTCATGATATCGGACTGCTTCTTCCTCCATAGCTCCGACACGTACGTATAAGCCCCTGCAATCCAAAACCCACCACACAAAAACAAAAAAACAATCAAAATGGGCAGATCAATTCAGCGTTCGTGATCTCTGCTTTGTAAATTGATTGGATACTGGGAAATGTGGCCTTACCCATGTTAAGAAGATCTTCCCTTCGGCTTCCGCTTCTGCTAGTCTCTAGGGTTTTGAGAGGGAGTCTTAGGAAATGAGAAGTGTTTATATAGCATAGGTCACAAGGCTGAGAGGATGTTCTGAGTCGGCCCAAAATCGTTTGGGCTCAATATTTAAATTTTGAATTTCTTATGGCCTGGCCCAAAGTACTTTGTTGTAAACTTTTTGGTACATCTGTTGCTGTAAATTATTTTTTTATTTAATTTAATATTTCGGAGTTCATCTGCTTCAAATGGCAAAAAATTTAAGTAACTAAAATTACAAGTTTTTTCATATTTTTGGAATCATAAATTATAATTTAAGCAAAGGTTTATACACGTTTGATAAGTTTGTTTATATACTTACTATGATATAATTTATCATGTATCAGTTTAATAATTCAAAAAATATATCACTCGGAAAAAGAGTTATATAGTTAGAAAAAAAAAATACTATTAATAAGTGAGTGAAATCTTTAGTTTATTTTATTTTGTATCGGGAGACTTTTTTTTCCATATTGAATGACAATGGTTCTGTTCATGGTTAGTAACAGTCCACAAACCTCCATCGTCCACCTTAAAAAAATACAAGCTCCACAACTAATGCGAAAATCAATTTTGACATAAACAGATTATCTTGTGTCTTGACCCCTGTTTATACAAAAATTCTTTATCCAAATTATGTGTGTGTTTTGTGTTGCATGTTCTGTCGGCCTCTTTTGAAACTAAATCCCACGTTTACTAAATACGCATTATACAAATCATAATCTTCCTAATCAAAATTAGCCATTTGTCCAACTAAACATAAACCTATTTCTGAATTTGATGTGACAACACTTTCACTTTGTTCACATACAAAAACAAACAATAATAATGCAAAAATGTTTACACAATAAAGCAAAAAATTCAAAAACATAAATAGAGCACATAAGTGTGAAAATCATACTCAAGGACCATGCAAAAATCAATGAAAGACCAACATTCTAAAAAAAAAAAAAAGTCAGAAGACAACAACAAAGACATACGAAACACATGATTACATCGCAGGACCTTGAAATATCCACGAAAGACTAACACAATAAAAAAAAACTCAGAGAATAACAACGAAACACATATACAAAACACATGACTGTGCAAATTATACCGCAAGACCTTGAAAAATCAACGAAAGACCAACAAAAAAGAAAATCCAATGACAATGTCAATCCTAAACACTCTCTCCATTATTACAATTTACTTTTTCTCCTACTTTAATCTCATCGGCGATACATCTTCAAATCCTTTTCCTCCTTCAACGTCACGACCAAATACATCTTCAAACTGTTCTTCAACTCCAGTAACTTCATCGCATACATCTTCAACACATTCTCTATTACGATCTACGCCATTCACATCTTCTTCCATCAAATTACCGGAAACGTCCTTGTAATAGCTACATCCATCTTCTCCGAACAATTCAAATCTTCATTATCGTAATTATGAAATTGTCCCAGAAACCTCCATTCTTCTTAACTTAATGAATATAAATCTTGATTTTTAACAACATCTTTTCGTTTCTCGAAACTCTTGAGAAGTTCAACAAATGACTCCGTCGATGACAAAGGATCGACGATCGTCATCGTTAAAATCGCCCAAGGATTTCAAATCCGAATTATGGAAAAAAGCACAAGTTTCTGTATTTATATAATGTGCGTATATTTTGTGGAGAAGTATTATTTTTTTTTTGGAGTGAATGGCACGTGCCATTAAGTGCGGTTACCAAAGTGTACTTAATGTGTTGGGTATAATTTTTGTGAAAAAATCCTTTTCGATAAGGAAAGAGGGTCGAATGGTGAACGACTAGAACTAATACAACCGTTAGATAACACATGCGCAATTGTCACCGTCCAGTCAACTGAATGGTTCAGTCAAATAATACAACCGTTAGATAACACATGCGCAATTGTCATCGTAGGATTAAAAGTAGGTAATATAGAGCAAAAATACTTTGCAACACACTGGATCACTTCTATGGAAACGTGACAACCAGTTGTCAATATCCGATTCTTTTTTCTTTCCCTTTCTTCAACAAAATAAACCTCCTTCATCCTCCGCAAACCCCAAAAAATAAATCCCACGAAATTATGTGCCTACATCTCACGGATCATGAAAGAAATTCAAAATTGATCGTTCATGTATAGAAGGCCTATTTTTAAATATTCCCAATGCCTGTAATTTGTTTGGTCCGGTTTGATTTTTCCCTGACGATTAATCAAGAGTTTGATTCAATCATGTTTTCTTCCTTCGGATTTATTGTGATTAAAGATTGATGTTGTAAACTAATATTCTTCTACCAATTTAAACTATTATATTTTTGTTTGAGCACATGTAAGTTGTTTGATGTGTTTTTTAACCGAACTCCAAAAATTGATCAGAAAGTATAAGAATAGTAGGTAAGTAAAAACCCAATATGATGATATGTCTAAACAAGTTCGTTAATTCACGGAAGAAATGCGTCGATTTGATGATCGCCCAATGACCATCAATGAGAATTCGGAGCTTAACTGCATCTCTTGGTTTATGCAATTAGTTTGGGTGCTTAAAAGCATCTCTTGATTTAAAAGTATCTCTTGGTTGCAGGCTACATCCGCTATGTCGATGAGATCAATGCGTGTGAGCATCCATGCCGCACTCCCAGAAATCATAACGGTGACGGTGTTGGGGGTGCCTTTTATGTTAGAGGAGCCTTAATTAGGAATAGGTAATGGTTGTATGCTAGTAACAGTACTTCTCTTTCAAGGAAAAGCTTTCTATTTGATTTGAATGCAATTAAAAGTTTGGACGCAATTTGATTGTGAACTAATTTAGAATCCATCAGAAAAGTCTCATAATTGTGGTTTTTACCCCATGAAATGTCGAACAAATTCTTTTTTTTTTTCTCATGTTTGAATGATCTTTTTTTTTAAAAAAAAAAACTAATGTGAATGAAAAGAAGACGCTTCAAGATGTTTCATCTTATGAAGTTCAAGAAGTTTCATTTTATGAAAGTTGATGATAAAAGTGTTAACGAAAAATTGTGCCGATTTATTAAATCGCTGTTTTAGAAAAACTCATATGTTAATTTCGTTTATCTTAGTTTGTTTTTTTTAAAAAATAACCATTAACTTACTTGATTATTAGGTCACTAATTAATAGAGTTTCATTAAGATATTACACACCCCCTGATGGTTCATGGTGTGCCTTATTTTTATTGAATAGATTTTAACTGAATGGTTTAGTTAAAAATCTACGACTGCACCATAGAATTTTCTTATATATATGTATATATACTAGTGTTTATCCCACACGTTGTGTGCGTTGTTCAAGATATATATGAGTTATTTATGTAAAAGAAAAAAAAATTATATAAATTGCAATTGTTTAATTTTTAATGTCAATATGTTTTGTTATTTGAAGTATATTTTGAATAATTTTGAATATTCGAAATCGTCCAATGTAACTTATTGTCCATCTTTTTCCTTTTATTGATTTATAATTTCATATCTTGTAAAATTTTCTCTTAATTATTATAATGATCTTTCTAAATATTTCTACCTGTGTCAAATCTTTTATACTATCACTCTTACAGAAATTTTATTATTATTTCTTTTCATAATTAAACTTACCTTTATTTTTCATCTTTCTCTCTATATACCTTTTTCAACCTTTCATTTGAAGTTTGTTCGTATATTTTTCATATAATATAGTGATTACTACATCTTTTTTTTTTTCTTGGTTGCAAAGTATTCACCTTTTCTTTTCTTTTTTTTTCTTCTAAATTTTGAAGACCACTCTTTAAAAATTCATTTTTTGCAAAAAATTTATAATATTTATTTTATTTTTCACTATTATCTCGGTTTTATATATATATATATATGTTTTCTTATTATTTACATAATTGTTTCCCCCATATAACTATTTTTAATTTCTCAATATACTTTTCTTCTACTGTTTATCTCCCACAAAAACTTTATTCTCTTTCTCATTTTGAAAAACTTTCTCCCTACTGATCTCTACATTTTGTTTTATCATCATTATGTAGCTTTTTCTACTATATCAGACGGAAAAAGTAAAATAAACCATCTAATTGATTTTTTTTTATTTTGCTACCGATTACCAATCTTCATCAAGATTAGAAGGTTAATCGATGAAAATCGCGTATCACACTTAAATTCCAAGATACGTATGCAAAGAAGAATGTAAAAAAAAAAAAAACTATTTAGCACAGATATAGAGTTTTAATTCTATTAACTACGATGAAACAATTTTTGGTTCTGGACAACCGAAAAATATGTATCTTATTATTTTTTTTTATCTGGGTGTTTTAACTTATAAGGGATAAATTAATTTAAATATTTATTTCTTATAGTTTTTTAAACTTATCTTATTTGATATTGATATTTAATTATAATTTAATACTTACTCTCTTGCACAATGTGAATGGAATTGAATTTTTGAATAATTAGTGATTCATCATTATTATAGTTACAATCATTATGTCATGATATAAAGAAAATATTATTTGGCAGAAAATTATTTGCATGGGATCGTTTTTATTCCTTTTACATTGTTTATTAAATTTTTTTGAAAGTTACACGTGGGTTTAATTAAAATATGTCATTTGATCATAAACATGTGCGGGGATTATAGACGTTAGTTCAATTAAATCACGCCCTCAATTTCCTAAATTATTCTGCTCCAATGGTTTATTTGTAATAATTGTTAAAGTATGTAAAATTTGATATTTTTGAATTTTACGGATTTCGTAAATAAAAAATTACCATTAAATGATGGAGTGATGTGGTTGCGACATGTGGACTTAGTTATCTAATTTTTTACCATGTGGATTACACTATCTAATTTTACGCCATGTGTCCGATTGAAAACTCTCCTTTAATAGATATAGAGACTAATGTTTACCCCACACGTTGTGTGTATGTTCAAGATATATATAAGTTTAATAATTTAATGATTACATGACATTTTCGATAGAGTGATATATGTTAAAATTAATATTAATGATATAAATTACAATTGTGTATTTTTTCATATCAATGTGTTTAGTTATTTTAATTATATATGCAATAAACTTCAATATTTGAAATCATCCAATGTAACTGATCCATCTTTTTAATTTTCTTGATTTATGGCTTTATATCTTTTAAAAGTGTTCTCTTAATTTTTCATAATGATCTCTATAAATATTTCAACCCATATTGTTTCAAATTCTCCCTCTAACAAAAGATTTTCTCATTATTTAATTTCGTACACTTATCTTTATTTTTCATTTCTAAATATACCTTTTTTAATCTTTGTTTAGAAGTTTGTTTTATGTTTTCCTATAATATAATGTTTGCATCATTTTTTTTTAGTTGCATAGTCTTCACCTTATTTTTTTCTAGATTTAATGACATGTCTTAAAGTTTCATTTCTTGTAACATTTCAATTAACTTGGGTCTTTTTTCATATTTTCTTATTATCTACATAAATGTTTCCTCCAAATAATTATTTTCAATTATATATGAACATAATGATTTAACAGTTATATGATATTTTTAACAAAATGATATATGTAAAAAATAATATTAATGATATAAATTTCAATTTTTTAATTTTTAATGCTAACGTATTTTGTTATTTAAGTACATTTGGAATAAATAAAATATTCAAAATCATCCAATTTAACCTATTGTCTATGTTTCTAATTACAACTATACTTACTATTAATATTCGGAAAAAATAACATTCAATCACTACGCAACTATACTTATCATTTTCTTCTACTATTAATTTTTTTTCGACATATTTTATCTCCATGTGTAGGATTCAATTGAAATTGTTTCGTCAAATGGAACTCTCTGATCACCTTTCTATCTTTTTTAAAATCTATATATATATATATGTATATATATTTTATTTTTTCATAATGATCTCTCGGAATATTTCTACGCTTGTCAGATGTTTTAATCTCTTCCTCTCATAAAGAAGTTTTGTTATTATTTTTTTCCATATACTTATCTTTATTTTTCATCTATCTCTATATACCTTTTGCAACCTTTGTTTAAAAATTTGTTCGTATATTTTTCTTATAATATAGCGTTTACATCATTCATTCTTGGTTATATTGTCTTCACAACCATGGAAATTATTTTGTCAGATTGAACTCTCTGATCATTGTTTCTCTATCAATAGCTACACAAGAACAAATCATTTGAAATTAATTCATCACGTTAGGTCACTCTACTTTAGCTAAATGATCTATTTCGGAAGAAAAAAAAGTTATATTTCTTTTTTCCTAAAATAATTGTGTAATTTAGATTTTTAGTGTTACTATGATTTGAACTAAAAATAAAAATCTAAATTGGACAATTATTTCAGAACATGTTCTTTGTTTTGTGTGTTTTGGTTGAGTCCAATGCAAATATCTTTTAAGAACCGCCAAAGGTCTCAAATTATTAGCTAACTGGTAACAGAGAAAATTATATTAATTTCCTCACAAAAAGAAGATCGCAGTCACAAGTTTTTTTTTTCCTACTTAATCTAGTGTTTTAGATGTTTCTTGTATTAAAATCTGTTAGGGTGTAATTGGGGGATTAATGCCAAATAGTAAGAAAAAGTTTTTGAGAGGTTAATTTGTACCCATTTGTGATCGGTCATAATGACTAAAAACGTAGGCTAATTGCTTTTCTCACCATGACCACTAATCAAATCGGGTCATTCCTTTCTTATGTGCACTTGCCACTTTACTTCTATGTTTCATTAAAAAAAAATAAAAACAAATGTGTAGAAAGATGCTTCCGCTGTATGTTAGAGGTAGTAATTAAACTCTCAGTTAGTTTAGTTTTATTTACAAATTTACAATTTTACATTAAAAATTATCATTAGATGATAGAGTGATGTTGCGACATGTGGACTTGGCTATCTAATTTTTTGTCATGTAGATTACCCTATCTAATTTCACGCTATGTGTCCAATTGAAAACTCTCGTTTTTAATATAAATTATTATCCAATTTGACTTTTTATGGATCAAGTTACACATTTGTCCTTAGTAAAAAACATTATCCATAAAATCTTAGTGGTTAAACAATTACTTATGTAGGGGTAATCCGGTTGTTTAAGGTAAAATATAGTTAAGTTTGACCAAAAATAAAATCTTTTATTTTAGTAAAACTGGACAATAATTATGGGACGGAGGGAGTATATTATATAATAGAGAACAAAATTCAATTAACTTAAGAAAAAAAAAATGTGAGAACATAGCTGTGAAAAAAGGCCGAGGCTTTATCTCCTCATTCTGGGTGATCATGAAGAGGGTGAGAGAAACTTTACCCTGATCATAAGAAAAGAGAAAGATATTAATGATTAATTTGTCAATCAAATTCAAATTCTTGTAAAATAACATAGATAATTGAACAAAGGTGGCGCAGAACATAAAATAATAACCCAACACATTAGGGGGGGGGTTATTCATTTCAGATTATAGTAAAATCGGGCCTTTTGGTACTTAATTTACTATTTTTAAGGTTTGTATTTGTATTATTTATTTTTTTGGTAATTTCGAGTCAAAGTTTTATTTGTTTCCTACTGTAATTGGTGACTGATTCGCCGCCATAAAGATCGATTTGGGCAAATTTTAAAAAGAAGTTTAGGGTTCAATCAAGAAATCAAACCCAAGTATACATCACTACAGCCATGGATACTGTTGGGATCCTTTCCATCCTTTTATGGCTCCTCTGGATCTCAGCTTCAACGTTATCCGCAGCTACTTTTTCCTCTGATGAGATTACTGGTATTATACCGATAAATAATACTACTCTGGAACTGCTTCCCACCGTATTAGCTGAATTTTCTCCAATTTCAAAACCCATGAAGAATTCCACATTCGGGATTGGGATGTTTCCTCAGAACCAATATTGGGAGAACCTTAACGGGGTAATTTGGATGACGGGTTCTTCTTCTGCTGAGGAATCTATTGTGGGTTCTCTTCAGGAACCAGTTTTCTTTGGTCTGGGAATTGTAATGCTGACTTTGGCCACTCTCCTGGCGATTTTTACTTCACCAATGTTGAGGAGATTCGGAAATCTTAAGTTCGTTAGAGAATTATGCAGATTTGGAAAGGGATATGAAAAAATTCTTGTGAATCAATGCAGGTCAGCGATTCAGAAATTCCGAAATCCTGAATCTCGGTCGACCGATGATGTATTAAGTTTCAGCATCAGCAGGGTCTCTCCTCAGCGATCAACTCCTGAAACATTCTACTCTACTTTCCATGAAATTCCTGGAAGAAGAAAGATCTCAGAGGAAAAGTGGAATGAAATCACCAAAAACTCCACAAACGCTGCTCTGGAGAGCCTTTTTACTTCGCCGGCATTCGGTCAATGGGCTGTTGCTCAAGCTGATAGACTTACTTTAGCTCCCAAGAAGGTGGAAGAAGTTCGAATCCAGGTCCCGATGGTGGACGCGGTTCCACATTGGGATGAACAGTCCAGTGTTGCGAGCACTAATCAGCGATCCAGGCGTCGAGTGCAAGAACCGACCAAGCTTAAGGACTTCATCCGGATTTAGATAATTATTCTGTTTTTGTTTGTATAACAGTCAAGATGATACCAACAATTTGGAGTTACGTTACTTGTCTCATAATCTCTCCCAAAATTAACTGTTTGTTGCTGTTGGCTTAGAAAATTAACAACAGAAAATTCATGTAGCATTTTACTAAAGCATTCAGATTCCATTGGATACCGGAAAAGAAGCGCTTGTGGAAGAATGGACTCGTATTTGCAATGTTAAGTGTTGATTTTCAGCTCCAAGTGAAACCATTAAAGCTTCTTAGTATTAAAATTTTCTCTGAATGTAGGATTCCTTGGTTTTTCTTCTCATTAGTGTACTATGTTACATGGCTTTCAGTTGTCCAATGGTAAAGAATTAAATGGTGGGTTTTTCTACTTCAGAGCATTGAGGTACAAGAGAGTAAAGCATAAAAGAAAGATGGAACAGAATGAGCTAAAAATTTGTATGATTCAACTATGTTGTTTTACAAAATTAATAGAGACAGACAAGAAAGGGTAAAGATTCGAACAGTCCTAATAACAACCCTAAAAACAGAATGACCTGAAAGCAGATTCGAGCAGTCCTAAAAACAACCTTCCTGACTGAGGATTCTTAGAACTAAGCTGTTAAGATGGTAGTTATACCATCTCCTCCACTTATTATTTAACACAAGTGACCAACACAAGACAATTAGGCTCAATGGAAATCCTATTGCAGCACTCACATAGATGTCACTCTCCCAGACTGATTCTTCCTCCTCAGGCGATAGAACTGGAAAGCCTGGCGGAGAGGTAGAAGAATCGCATGATCTGTTGATTGGAAAACCACATAATCCACTGTTCCCGAGGAAGCTAGTTTCTGTAAATGTTTGAATTTGACTACCTTTTGGTATCGTTCCAACCAGGTCGTTGTAAGAAACATTTAATGATGAAAGGAATGTAAGATCTGATATCTGCGTTGGAATTTCACCACTCAGATGATTGAATGAGAGGTCCAGTGATTCAAGCTGCTGAAGATGGCCGATTGAAGGTGGAATTGGACCTGTGAGAGAATTGTGTGATAGGTTAAAATTTAAAAGCTGTTGAAGCTTTCCAACTGTTTCCGGCAAATTCCCCTGGAAATGATTGCAGGAGAAGTCAATGGCCGCAAAGGTGATAAGAATCTTCTCCAGGAGAATTTCATAACCTTTAACAATCATTCTCACCGAGTCTTGATAGTGAAGGTTGGTATTACTTAAGAAATTAGTAGAAAGGTCTTCACCTAGTTTCCCAGCTCCACCAAGAATTATTCCTGTCCAATAAGGTATGCTCGAGGATAGAGTACCGCTGAATCCATTCAAAGCAATGTCAATGATTTGAAGATTTTGCCAGCTGTTATTTACTGCAGAACAGCTCAGATTTCCATGGAACTTGTTGGATCGCAAAACTAGTACGCGCAAGCTAGATGAGCCCGCCAACATGCAAGGGAAGGTATCTTCAACGCTGTTTCTACCAATGTTGAGAACTTCCAACGACGTGCAGTTGACTATGGATCCTGGAATCATCCCTGTTAGACCATTTTCACTGAGATCTAATGTTTTAAGAACACAACTGGTAGGGAAGTTATCTGGGATGTTGCCATTTATGTTGTTACTGCGTAATTGCAGCACTTTGAGACTCTCCATGCTACCAAATACACAGCTGGGTATGCTGCCTGTCAAAATATTGTTTGAAAGATCAAGGATTTGGAGGTAACTGGCATTGCAAATTGACTCTGGGATGATTCCGGTCAGTCTATTATTTGAAGAAGAGAAATAAATTGTGTAAGTAAAATAACTTCCAATAGAAGATGGAATGGAATTGCTGAAGTTGTTGTTGGAGTAGTCCACATAGATAGCTGTAGCTGGTGGGATTGGAAAGTTGCCCTGTAGTAAGTTAGAGTGTACGTCAAGCACAAGCAGATTATTGCTTGTGTAATTTATTTGCATACTTGAAAGAAGATTATGAGAAAGATTCAACTGTTGAAGGTTCCTGTTTCCGATTTCCCAAATCCACGTTGGAATTTCTCCTGGAATGCTGTTTTCTGAGAGGTCTAGAATGGCCATCTTGGACTGGTTCTTCAAGTTTGGAAAGGTACGCAAGTTGCAGGAAGCCAATCTAAGAACACTGAGCTGAGGCAAGACAGACTTACTAGTGTTTACTTCAACCAATAACAGGTTATAAGAAAGCTCTAATTTTGTAAGGTCGGGAAGCTCGTTGATCATTTGAAGCTGCAAGGTGCCATTGAAACCATTGGAAGAAAGTGAGAGGACATTGAGGCTTCTAAGTTCAAAGAAAGATTTTGGTATTGAGCCTTTGAGTTGATTACCACTCAGATCAAGTACGCCTAACGAGCGTGTAGAGGCGTTGGGAAATTCTGCTATTTGACCGTCAAATCTATTGTTTGAAAGTTGAAGTTTCTGCAAGGATTGCATGGTAAACAAGGATGGGGGAATGCTTCCTTCTAGTGAGTTGAACCCTAAATTAATGAAATAAAGCTCGGCGAGGCCTTCAAAATGGGTGGAAAGAATGGTGCCCGTTAGAAAATTCCGGGAAAGATCGATGTATTTGAGTTTATTGGACATCTGAAATAATGGGATTGAACCATTGAATTTGTTAGCGGAAAAGTCCAAATAAACCAGTTCCTTGAGATTTGCCATTGTGGATGGAATTGGTCCACTGAAATTACAATTTGACAAATCTATCATCGACAAATTCCCCAGGAAACCAATGGAATCTGGCAAAGTACCCGAGAAAGCAGTATAGCAAAGCACAAGAGTTCTGAAGGATGCATTCTTGGAAAGTTCTGGGATGATTCCAGTGAGCAAATCATTGTATGACAAGGCTATGTGCTGCAATGTTGGTACCTGGAGGATCTTCTGTGGGAAACGTCCTTGCAGACTACAAGAGGTGAGGCTTAAAATTGTCAAATTCGTGAAGTTTGCGAAGAAATCTGGAACTGAAGCTGATAGATTGTTGTTGTTAAGATTGAACACTGACAATGAACTGAGTTGTGAAAGGGAAGTGCTGATTGGACCTGAAAGATAACAAGTAGACAAGCTCAGCACTCTCAAATTAGACAAAGTTGAGAAAGCGTTTCCCCAATCAATCCCTGGAGCAGAGATATTGACACCATCAAGGTACAACTCTTCCACCTCAGTCAGATTCTGAAACAGTACTTTAAGATTTGAATTTCCAACTTCCAGGCGGTCAAATCCAGGGAAACTGGTTGAAAGGTCAAGAACAACCAACCTCTTCATCAATCCCAGATCAGTACTGATTTCTCCATAAAAGCCGGCATTCGACAAATTCAGGTAAGTTAGATTCCTGAGCTTGTAGTACAATCCACTTGGAATGATAGAGTAGAAGTTATTGTAAGCCAAATTCAAACTCTCCAGGTACTGAAGTTCAAACAGAACACTCGAGTTATCTATCCTGCCTGAAAATGTCTGATCATCAAGTTTCAGCTTCATGACATGACCTGATTTATCACATTTGACTCCATCCCAAGTGCAACAATCAGTACTAGAATCCCAATTCACTAACCTGGAAGACGATGATGAACTATCGGATGAAGGATTCGTCAAGTTGGCTTTCAGTATCAGAAGCAACGACTTCTGGTCCTCCAGGCACTGGCTCGACACCACTTCCCCTGATAACAACGGAATCAAGAATATCAACAAGACCCAGAAAAAGGGTACTGTATTAATCTTCATTTGTTTGTTGGGTTTTTTGCTAAATGATGGCCGGAAAAAGAAGAGGAGACAAACAAAGAAAAATGGTTGATGTGGTGCGAGTGATCAAAGTGTTGAACGCGTTTGTCGTCTGGGCTTCTTTATTTCTCCTTGTTCTTCATTGACCCGGGGATGACTTAAAAAGTTGAACGTTGAAATGAAAAAAAAAAAATAATACAACACTCATCTTTAAACCACCAAAAAAAAAAAAAAACTCAACAAATTATTTAGAAACAGCCATTTAAGTGAGTTATGTTCTCTCAGCCGCCCCTCCCCCAAAAACCCTCGTTTTTCCTTTTCCCATCTCTCCTAGAGGGAGTCTAGGGAAAATGGGAGAAACAAATCCATTCCTTTATTTTCTTTTTCTTATTAAAATAAGTGGAGTTTCATCCACATATATTTTGTTTCGAAATTTATCAATTGTAGTTTTTCTATTAATTTGTTCAAAGGTTGTGTTGTTAAACTCGGTTCAGACCGATCGGTTCAACCCGGTTAAACCAGAAACCAGACCGTATATCGAACCAAATGACTTAACAAAACTCTTTTTTTGTGACTCGGTCAAAATCGGTCAAAACCCCGAATGAACTGCAAACCGGACAGAATCGGGTCGATCCAGGGTTTATGTTTTTTGCACTTTTGGGCCAAGTATTACCTTTTCTCCCCTCGTTTTCTGTGTCTTTCTCCCTCTTTCTTGGTCCAAATATTTGCCTTTTTCTTCTTAAATGAACCAACAACTTTTATTTATAAATTAATTTGTCAGTTTAGTCCCAAATTTTTTAATTCAACTTATTAAAACAACCATATTTAAATAAACATCTTTTTTAATATTTTTCTCACATATGAACTCCTATTTATTTTACACAAAATTTAAACTATACCTTGAATATGATGAAATTAAATTATATACACACACATTTTAAATAATAAAAGTTGATTATCTTGTATAACTTTATAAATTTTAATCATAAATAATTAATTTATATATAATGTTGAATTAAGATACTTATCTTAAACTGTAATTACATGCTCAAAGTACTATTGTTGACTATTACTATAAAAAAGATTAATAAATATTAAGTTTTTTTAATTATTAATATATTTTTTTAATTATATATTATTTATTACATCGTAATGACGTAATCGAGTCGACCTCCCAAGTCGACCCAAATCGCCCCCTAAAACCCCTGACTCCTACTGTCACGGACAGTTTTTCTTCACCACGAATTCGGGTGGTTTGATGCAAAACGGGCTATTTTCGTAGACGGACATGGGACGGAACGGTCTAGAGCCTTGTGGAATTTTCCGGTCAAATCTTGAAGACTCTGGAATTTTCTAGAGAGGCCCGGAACTCTCTAGAAACGGGTGGAACCGCGTGGAAGCTACCCGAGTTTGCTAGAACCGTGTGGAAGATTCTAGAGACTTGTAGATATTTTGAACTTAGAATATTTTATTGTAGGAATTCTCTAGAATTCCATTATTTTATCATGTACATAGAATTCTCTAGAATTCTTGAGGACTTGGGGTTTGCCTATAAATACCCCATGCCCCCTTCATTTGTAATCCATCCAAGCTTTGAGTAGAGTTCTCAAGCATTCCTTAAGCTCTCTTGTGCTTTCATCGTTCTTTCACTTTCAACCTTTCTTAAGTTTTCTTTGCCTCCGTTCTTTAAGGCCTTGTCTAGCTTTGCACGTTTTGAGGGTCTTAAGGCTGAGCTAGCACTTGATCGTTAGTTGTTTTGTGCTAGTGCTACACGGCCGTTACTTTGGAAAAGTAAGCCCGTGACAGTTGGTATCAGAGCCTCGGCTCGATACTTGGTGTGCTACATCGTCTACGCTTCCGTTTGATAGTTTTCTTTCGTGCATAAGCTATGTCCAATCCTTCGGAGGTTGTTCAAGGGTCGGAGCTTGAGGGGGATCGCGTTTCCTGCGAGGTGGGGAGGACCACCCGCAAAGGAAGCCGCAAGGAGAAGTCGGTCGTTAGAGAGCCGATGGTGGAATTCGAGAAACGGCTTGCCAAGCTAGAGCTTGCTGTGGCCGACCACCAAGACCGTTGGGACGAGCACCCTGAGGTGGTAGCGGGGGTCGTCGAAGCTCACATGGAGCGATTCGCAGGGGAATTGCAAGAGGCCATGTAGCAAATGAAGGACGACATGCTAGGGACGCTCAATGAAATGGTGGAACGTTGCAACAAGTCGAAGGAGGAAAGCCTTGCTCGTGTTGACGGCCTCCAAGATGACGTCAGCCGGCTTATGGGGGAGCTGGAGACTTCTCGGGCAGAATCGACGCGTCTTAAGGCACGGCTTGACGCCGTGGCCGTGCAAGGGACAACTGGAGCCGTGGAGACGGTTCCAAGGCTTGAAGCGCCCAAGCCGGACGAATACAAGGGCAGCCGTTGCTTGAGGGACGTAAAGAACTTTCTCTATAGTATGGAACGGTACTTTGGGGCTATGAATATCATGGACGACTCGGTAAGACTCTTCCAAGCCTCTCTTTATCTTAAAGATAGTGCTTTATCATGGTGGAAACGTATGATGAAACCCGTGGGGGACGGAGACCCGGTCTTCACCACGTGGGATGGTTTTAAGGAAGAGTTTAGAAAGTATTTCCTACCCGTGGATGCGGAAGACGAAGCCCGGGCCAAGCTTCGTCGTCTGCACCATAGGGAAGGCCAAATCCGGGAATACGTTAAGGAATTTTCGGACTTGATGTTTGACATTCCGGATCTCTCGCCCAAGGAGGCGTTCTTTACTTTCATGGACGGTCTCAACCGTTGGGCCAAACTTGAGCTACAACGGAGAGAAGTCCAGGACATCGATCGGGCGTTAAAGGTGGCCGAATTGCTTGATGAGTTCCAAAAGAAGGATAGCTCCAAGGACAAGGGCAAGAAGCCGTTCCAAGGCAAAGGTGGGGGAGACAAAGGGAAGTCTTCCACACCCGCGAAATCGGCAGCGGACTCCACAAAGCCGTCTTCGAGCAAGGAGACCAAGGGGGACAAGCCAAAGAAGTTTCAAGGGTGCTTCTTGTGCGGGGGAGCGCACATGGCACGTGATTGCCCGTCTCGTTCGAAGTTGGCAGCATTAGCGCAAGGCTTGTGCCAAGAGGAGGAGAAACGGGTCGCTTGCATGAAACGGCTAGACGCCGTGCATGCCAAGGCCGAGACACGCCAAGGCCGTCTTTATATGGAGGCATCGTTCACAAACGGGTCTAGATGGGGCATGCTAGACACGGGGGCCGATACGAGTTATCTCACGGAAGAGGTAGCCCGTACGCTTGGAGTCAAGTGGACACCTAGCAAAGGCCGTTTCAAGGGTGTGAACGGCGAATGGACAGGTCTTGTGGGCGAAGCAAGAGACGTGCCTCTTAAAATCGGCAACTGGTCAGGTACGACAAATTTCTCCATCGCCCCTATGGACGAACGGTCTTGTGTTTGGCATGGAGTTTTTAGACCAGGTTAAGCCAATCATCGTGCCTAGCAACGACACGATGGTAATCCTCCAAGGCGAGAAGCCTTGTGTGGTAAAGTTTAGATGGGAAAATGAGCTTAGCCCTTCCCAGCTGAACAAGGGGCTAAAACGGGGTGAACACACCTTTACCGCCATGGTGTTTGAGGAGGAACCATGCACAGAGGAGCCGGCAAAGGAAGAACGAATCCCGCCTCCTATAGAACGAGTCCTTGGTGAGTTCAAGGACGTGATGCCCGACGATTTGCCGAAAGGTCTTCCACTAAGGAGGGAGGTTGATCATGCCATCGAGTTGGTGGACGGGACGAAACCCATAGCCAAGGTGCCTTATCATATGTCCCCTAGTGAGCTAGAGGAGCTCAAGGTGCAAATCAAGGAGCTACTTGAATCGGGTCATACAAGGCCGTCTAAAAGTCCGTGGGGTTCGCCGGCCTTATTCCAACACAAGAAAGATGGGACGCTACGTTTGTGCATCGACTATTTAAACAAACTAACCGTGAAGAACAAGTACCCTATCCCACTTATAGCGGAATTGTTCGACCGGCTGCAACGGGCACGGATCTTTTCCAAGCTAGACTTGCGGAAGGGATACTACCAAGTACGCATAGTACCCGATGATGAACCGAAAACGGCCATGGTGACGAGGTATGGCTCTTATGAGTTTCTTGTTATGCCGTTCGGTTTAACTAACGCCCCAGCCACGTTTTGCACTCTGATGCAACATGTGCTAGCGGATTTCATTGATAAGTTCGTTGTAGTATACTTGGACGACATCGTTATCTATAGTAACACAATGAAGGAGCATGTGGAGCATCTTAGAGCCATTTTTCAAGTCCTTAGGGAAAACCAGCTCTATGTTAAAAGGGAAAAGTGTTCCTTCGGCCTTGAGGAGGTGTCGTTCTTGGGACACATCATTGGTGGGGGCAAAATCTACATGGATCCGGCCAAAATCAAATCTATCGTGGAGTGGGAGGCACCCACGAAGCCAACGGAGCTGAGATCGTTCTTGGGGCTTGTTAATTACTATCGGCGGTTCATTGAAGGACACTCCGCCATAGCCGCTCCATTAACGGATCTCTTGAAGAAGGGGCAAGCTTGGTGTTGGACACCAAAACACCAAACAGCGTTCGAGGCTTTAAAGGACGCCGTCACTCGAGAGCCAGTCCGAGCTCTCCCTGATTTTGAGAAACCGTTCGAGGTGTGCACGGATGCTTCGGACTTTGCCATTGGGGGCGTTCTTATGCAAGATGGTCACCCGATCGCCTTTGAAAGTCGCAAGTTGAACGAGACCGAGAAAAGGTGGCCACGCACGAGAAGGAGATGTTGGCTATAGTTCACTGCCTTAGAGTTTGGGAGCACTACCTAAAGGCCGCCACACCGTTCAAGATCAAGACGGACAATCGGGCAGTGAGCTACCATCAAAGCCAACCTAAGCTTTCAAGCAAGCAAGCACGTTGGTTGGACTTCTTGGCCGAGTTTAAATACGAGCTTGAGTATAGCCCGAGGAAGACTAACCACGTGGCCGATGCCCTAAGCCGAAAGGCGTGTCTTGCTCCAATCGTTAGCATACCCGAGGGGACGCTGGTTGATCGCATCAAGAAGGGTCTTGAGCACGACCGTCAAGCCCATAGGTTCATGGAGCTCATGAAGGAAGGCAAGACAACGCGGTTCTGGCTTGAGGATGGGATATTTTATGCCAAAGGGAACTGTTTGTACGTGCCCGCATGGGATGGACTTAGCCGTTATGAAGGTCACCCAGGTACGCATCACACACTTGCCTTAGTACATGAACAGTTCTATTGGCCTCGCATGCGGGAAGACGTGGAGACATATGTAAGGACTTGTCTAGTTTGCCAACAAGACAAGACCGAGCAAGACCACCCGCATGGCTTGTTATCACCCTTGCCTATTTCGGAACGCCCGTGGGATAGTGTTTCGATGGATTTCATCGTGAGCCTGCCCGTTTCCAAGGGTTGCACCAACATACTTATTGTGGTAGACCGTTTGTCTAAGTATGCGGTCTTCATTCCCGCCCCAAAAGAGTGCACCGCGGAGATAATGGCCAAACTCTTTCTTAGGCATGTGGTGAAGTATTGGGGGCTGCCTACATCGATCATAAGCGACAGGGACTCAAGGTTCACCGGCCGTTTTTGGCAAGAACTCTTTCGTTTGCTTGGGACGGAGCTCAAGATGTCTACATCTTTGCACCCGCAAACAGATGGGCAGACGGAGCGCATCAACGGCCTCTTGGAGGTGTACCTCAGGCACAATGTGGCAGCCAACCAGAAAGATTGGGTACGTTTGCTAGACGTTGCCCAATTTTCCTATAACTTGATGCGGAGTGAGAGCATGGGCAAAAGTCCGTTTGAGATTGTCCTTGGTTTCCAACCGACTACGCCTAAGGACATTCTTGGGGGCTATAAGGGCAATAGCCCACCCGCATACAAGTTTGCCAAAGATTGGCAAGAACGGGCCGACGAGGCAAAACTCTACTTGGAGAAGTCGGCCGTGCGCATGAAGAAATGGGCGGATAAGAAACGGACCCGTCGTGAGTTTGAAGAAGGCGACCAAGTCTTGGTAAAGCTTTATGAGCATGGTCGGAGCCGTGGTTTACACAAGGGTCTCATGCGCAGATACGAGGGTCCTTTCACCGTTCTCAAGAAAGTGGGTTCGGTTGCTTACAAGCTGGAGCTACCCGAGGCCTTTTCAAGGCTTCATCCAGTCTTTCATGTGAGCCTACTTAAGCCATACCGCAAGGACCCAGAGGACGAAGAACGGAACGTTTCCTCAAGGGCACCAGCTGGCGTACGCGAGCATGAGGAACGGACCGCAGAGGAGATCCTTTCTAAGAGGATCGCTCGGGGCAAGAGCGGGGCAGTAACTAAAGAATATTTGGTGAAATGGAAGAATTTGCAAATGAGTGAGACGAGTTGGGAGCCAATCGAGAAGCTTTGGCAATTCACCAAATTGATCGAGGACTTTGAGGAGAATCGTGCACCCGTTCCTATCAACATTGCCTTCGAGACTTAGGTGCATCGGGGCGATGCACCATTTTGGTGGGGGAGGATGTCACAGACAGTTTTTCTTCACCATGAATTCGGGTGGTTTGATGCGAAACGGGCTATTTTCGTAGACGGACATGGGACGGAACGGTCTAGAGCCTTGTGGAATTTTCCGGTCAAATCTTGAAGACTCTGAAATTTTCTAGAGAGGCCCGGAACTCTCTAGAAACAGGTGGAACTGTGTGGAAGCTACCGGAGTTTGCTAGAACCGTGTGGAAGATTCTAGAGACTTGTAGATATTTTGAACTTAGAATATTTTATTGTAGGAATTCTCTAGAATTCCATTATTTTATCATGTACATAGAATTCTCTAGAATTCTTGAGGACTTGGGGTTTGCCTATAAATACCCCATGCCCCCTTCATTTGTAATCTATCCAAGCTTTGAGTAGAGTTCTCAAGCATTCCTTAAGCTCTCTTGTGCTTTCATCGTTCTTTCACTTTCAACCTTTCTTAAGTTTTCTTTGCCTCCGTTCTTTAAGGCCTTGTCTAGCTTTGCACGTTTTGAGGGTCTTAAGGCTGAGCTAGCACTTGATCGTTAGTTGTTTTGTGCTAGTGCCGCACGACCGTTACTTTGGAAAAGTAAGCCCGTGACACTACCCTTTCTGAGTCAGTGTCCGAGTCGAGTCTAACAACATTGTTCACAGGTGAATTGCAATTTATGGATTCGGATCTTGATATTTGCACTGATGGAGGATGGCTCATGGATCCAGATCCATCGCTCAAGTTTCTGACAAAAGATCAAGATTCAGTTTCGAGGAGTTCTAATCTTAGATATGATAGTTAGATCTATGATTTTATTGGGCTTAGAACGGGATTTTAGTGACGTATTTTTGACCAAAGTTTTAATATGGCACGTGATACGGCCACAAGATATCTCAAGCGTAGATCTGAATAGGTTTATCCCTGCGTGGATATAATATATATTTTACTAGTTCGATCTTATGATGTTATATCATCATCAATTGTATCTTACTCCTTTATTTCAATCTGTTCTGGATAGTTTTTCAGAATTTAAATGAATTTCTTTTCTTTTAAAAAAAACTGAGTTATAATTTGTTCGCGTGAATTTATAAGTTTCGGAAAAACACATTCATAGATATCTCGCTTGATCTCATATATGTATCTTGGGAATTTTTCACCACACAACTATTCTGTTTTTTTTTTTTTTTGTATCAGATATTAAGTACGACAATTCTTTATCTTAAGTCTATATTCATCTGGATCCGTTAACACATATTATAGACATGTTAATAAAATTGTTAATTAATTTGTTATTGAATACATCATAAAAAAATATATAAAATTTCGCACATACTCCATTTGTCCAGAAATTATTGTCCAATTTGGATTTTTATTTTTAGTTCAAATTGCACTAAAAGTGAGTCTAAATTAGATAATAATTTAGGAACAGAGGAAGTAATTGATTTTAATGATTTGAATACTGGTACAAAGACTTGGCCAATTGAGTGTAGACTTAGCGGTTGACTTGCAAGTCAGTGTTGGGTTCTGCCTTTCTGCTATCAACTTCTTTGAAGTGAATGTCTAATAGTTCAAATTTATGACTTCTATCAGGGAGAAAAAAAAATTGTACTTCCTCCGTCAATTTTGATCAATTCAATCAACATACAACAGAATGCGTTTCTATTCGTCCAATGGTATTTCTTTTTTTGGTCTTTATTTAAGTCTGATTTTCTAATTTGAAGATGTGACACATTAGTCGCAGAGGAAATTATGCCAATACTCGCTTCGTTTCGTTTCATAAGTCACTTGAATTTGATGTGCGTGGTTAAGTTAGGAAAACGCTGGAAAAACTGGACTAACAAATTAAATTAAATGGGATTCGAAAGAAGGCTAATTAATTTAAATAAATAATTTTATTATTCTTTGATACTGGTGGTATATGGGTATGAAATATTGAATGAACGTTTTGGTACAATCATTCCTATTGATTAAATTTGCATTCCGGACCAGCTTTCGAGCTGTCACTACAGTAATCAAAGTACATATGATTTTTCCTATGATTAGTTAACTGAGCTTGTTGTGCTGGAGTCAATGTCCAATACTGCTTTTGATTCCAATAGTATTTCTCGGAATAGCATTCCTTTGGGTTTGATCCCTGGTAAACGCATGCATTCATGGCGAAATCTTTGTAAAATGCAGTAAATGGTGCTTGACTCCAATCCACATTCCCGCCGGCAAAAGTCGCATTCCAAATGCTGGCCTCAACGTGTAATGGTTGCGATGGAAATGCCACTCCACGGTGTTGTAGGTTCTTCCATATTCTCACTGCCTCTCCATCCACAAACCAACTGCAAAATAACATAAAATGCATTTTATAAAGTATGGATCAAGTAAATAATAATTCTAATAATTACACGTGATGAATAGAGAAAAGTTTTGTAGTCTTATTGATTGGATAGTTCAGTTAATGATTCAACGGTTAAATGTTGTCTTGGATCATTGAGTCGACGAAATAACAATGATGAATGATTTCTTACGCTATCTGGTGTTGGTTCCAAAGGATCTGATACTTATGGAACCCGGCAGTTGGATCAAACCAGAGATGAAACAGTTGCTCCCTGTGACCTTGATCTTTTGCGAAAACATTTGTACTGAAATTTCTCCCGTAAAATTCAATGTCAAATTCAAAGTGGTTTACACCTTCTACTGGTTTCCCAAATGCAACTTCTTGTAACTATACAAATGAAAGGAAAACAAAAAAGAAAGGATATAGGAAAATAAATCAATGTGTATGTAGCAAAATAATAGTATATGTGAAAAAAAAATAAAAATGAAGCTTTACATAGAATGACGTGATAACTCCGTTGGTATTTTTGTTCGGAATCTTCATCTCTATTTCGAAAAAGCCAGAACCGAAATCCGATAATGAAATAAATCCAGCTCCTGCAAAAAAAATCAAAGCAACCAAATTAAGTAATTAAAGGTCAAATTGATTATATATTTTGTTTTTTATTAGACTACCTTTTGTTTTGTCTATTTATAAGTCAAATGGACTCTTAAATTTGTGAAAAACTCATCCGTTAGCCAAAAGTATCCCCTTAATCAAATTGTAAAATAGTTTATTAGAAATTGAAAAAAGAAACAATTCAGTCGTTTAAAGGTTTAAATTATTTAAACCATGGAAATTATGCATCTTGTTTGTTCTTGTTTTGTACGATTTTTTTTATTTTTTGTCATGTTCAATAATACTAACCTTTTTTTTTACAATAAGAAAATTTGCGAATATTTAACTTACCACCATGTTGTTCGTTTAGCATAAGAGAAACACCATTGCCTCCGTCAGTGACAGTAAGATGGTCTTCTCCCCATGTTTGTTTGTAGTTCTTATCAAATTTGACTTGTGCTCTGCAACTAGAGAAAATAAGAACGAAGACAAGGAAAATGATGGATGCAAAATAAGCCATCATATAAAATGATACTAATAGATTAATGTTTTTTTTTATGATTGTTGAAATGAATTATTTTTACCAGAACCATGCCAGCAATTTATAGAAGAGGTACATAGTGTGTAGGTAAGAATAATTTGGTGTATCACTAATATCGAATTATTGTAAATAAAATTATATTTTTTCTGCTCTTTGATTTCAGATGATTGATGAGTGGTTGGTAATCCTTAGTCACTATATATTATTCTCTCTATTTACCACATTTAGTTCATTATTAGAAACATATCATATTTAATAATTTCGTATAGTATATATTAATTAACATTTTCTTAGTAGTAAATATTACCAATTAACTGCCCCACGAGACAAAAAAAAAAAGAAAAGAATAGAAAAGAAAAAATTACTTAAAAGACGAATTTCAGAATTATAAGAATTCAATATATATTCTTTAGGATAAAAAATAATAGAAAGGCGTACTTTACTTTTTACCATATTAAAACTAATTTAATAAAAGAGCGTAAAATGCATCTGTCGACACGTAAAAATTGGTACACATTAACATCTTACCTCAATAACACAATTTGAAGTTGTAAAAATTTATCCAACTATTGTGTGCATTTTGCTTCCGCCATAATTTTCATACTAGTTCGGCCATTTTCGTATTGCCATTGCTAAAACCCTCATTTTAAGTAGTCTTTTTGTTGGTGCGCATTAAATAAATCGGTAACCCAAACAATCCGAACTTTCATCATGTCCTATTTTTGAGCTTCCAACAACATATTGAAAGGGACATCGAAGCCATGGTTGCAAATTTCGTAGGGAGAGAGAGATAGCGTATGTGCAGGAAGAGATATGAACTTTAGAAATGTATTTCCTTTATCTTAAAATTTTTGTGTAATTTGAATTTTATTTTTAATATAATTTGTATTAATAATAAAATTTTAACTGAATAATATTTTGGATGGAAGGTTCGACCTAGCAATTCTATGCAAACAAGCGTGCTGCTTACAGTAGCGGATCCGGAACGAATTTACAGTGGGGGCCATAAATGCATTACGAAAAAAATAAACTATCATTTTATTATGGTTGATCATGACAAATTTTTCAACTTTAATGAAGTTTTGGAACCGTTTTAATTAAATATTATATGCGCTTATTGTACCATTATTTTTCAACATATATATTAAACCGAAAATCTTGTTTATTCAAGAGTTCAACATTCGACTATGCAAACAAAAGTTGCTATATTCAAAGCTAAAACCTTTTTCAAGAGTAGTTATATTAATAGGTAAAATCAAAACAAAAGTTTGTTTTATAAATTATTTTCAACAAAATGCTTAAACGTGTACACAAAAAAGAACAAAAGAAAAAATGTTCATCTATCCTTCGAACAAAACATATAGATCTAAATTATGGAAATAGAAAAATTTTATCTAAGTTAAATGTTGTAAACATATGTGATCATTTTGAAACGTGAATTTATTCGTAAATAGCATAATTACTTTATCAATTATTTTTTTGGTTTTAAATAATGCATCACTCACATATACAAATTCTTTTCAAATGTGGACTATTTTAATCAAAACAACATAAAATTAAGTGAAGATAAATTAAGCAAAAAAAAATCTAGCCAAAATAACAAAAAAAATCATTAATATGGTTAAAAAATGAATTTATAATATAGTTTTTTATTATATTAAAATAAAATGTATATATTATATATAAGGTTTAGGGTGAGGCCAGTGGGGGCCTAGATTTGCCAGTGGCTGCTTAATTGATCTTTCTCTCTTTCTCCCTCTCTATTGTTCTCTCTCCCTACTTGTTCTTTCTTTGAGCTTTATAGTTTTGTTCTTCACTTTATACTTATAACACATTATCAGCATGAATCTCTACCTCTTGCTAGTTTCGGTTGGGTAAGTGTTGTCAATTGTTTTTATTTCTTTTATCAATATGTCTAATCTTGCAAAACTTGAATTTGTCTCTCTTGACATATCTGGGAAGAACTACTTGTCCTGGGTTCTTGATGTTGAGATCCATCTCACTTCAAATGGCTTAGAAGAAGCAATCAAAGCTGGAAACAACGCCTTAAATCAGGAGAAAGCCAAAGCCATGATTTTTCTCTGCCACCACCTTCATGAAGATCTGAAAGCAGAGTACTCGACGGTGAAAGATCCATATACTTTCTGGACAAGTTTGAATGAAAGGTATGACCATCAGAAAACTGTTATTCTTCCAAGAGCTCATTATGAGTGGATATATTTGCGTTTGCAAGATTTTAAATCTGTTAGTGAATATAATTTAGCTATCTTTCGAATCACTTCCCTATTGAAATTGTGTGGTGAAAAGATCTCTGATGTGGAGATGCTAGAGAAAACATATACCACATTTCACGCATCTAATGTGCTTCTGCAGCAGCAATATCGTGAAAAGGGATACAAAAAGTATTCAGAATTGATTTATGTCCTTTTTCTTGCTGAACAAAACAATGAACTCTTGCTAAAAAATCATGAGACCTGTCCAACAGGAGCTGCTCTATTTCCTAAAGCGAATGCGATAGCAACACATCCTAATAATGGACAAGCTCGATGCCGTGGTCATAGCCGGGGCCGTGGTCGTAATCAAAGCCGTCATAACGCCCGTGGTGGTCATAACAAAAATACTAACCACCAGAAGTTGGGAGTCAATGATGATAAGAATGGAAAGAAAAAGAAAGATGGTGACAAATACTTTCAATGTAGCATGACGCGTATCTGTCGTACGCCAAAATATCTTGCATATCTCTATCAGGAATCACTGAAGAAAGCAGAAAAGAAGATAGAGACAAATTTCATTCAGAATGATGTTGTTGATGTTAACCATGGTTTTGTTGACAATGGTTTTACTGAATTTGCTAGTTTAGATGTTGCTGATTTGTTTGTCAATCACCCTGAAGGTGAAGTCAATGCTGAAAATGTCTTTCAGGGATAGGTTTTTTTTCCTTAGAGATAGGTTTTATATTTTAAATTTGATGTAATGAATTTTATTTTCATTTGATGAATTTCAATAAAACATTTCCTATTTATGTTTATTTCATTGTCCTTTACTTTATTTTTGTATTAAATAAAAGAAAAATATTCTTATTTAGAATCTTTTACTGTTGAAGATAATGGATGTCGCAATCAGCAATAGCAAAGAAGTATGTCTAGCAGACAGTTCAACAACATATTCAATACTCAAAGAGAGAAAATATTTTTCTCATATAGTGTTGAAAAAATCCCATGTAAGTATAATATCCGGGAGTACAAAATTAATTGAAGGCTCCGGAAAAGTAAATATAATACTACCTGAAGGCACTAAATTTTGCATTAATGATGCATTAAATTCCCCAAAGTCTTAACGAAATTTGTTAAGTTTTAAAGATATTCGCCGAAATGGATATCACATAGAGACTTATTGTGAAAGTAACATTGAGTACTTGTATATTACGAGTAATGTTGTTGGGGATAAAAATGTCTTAGAAAAATTACCTTCATATTCCTCTGGATTATATTACACATATATTACTACAATTGAAAGTTATGCAACGGTAAACCAGAAGTTTACTAATCACAATGATTTTGTTGTTTGCCATAACTGGTTAGACCATCCCGGTTCTATTATGATGCGAAGAGTTTTAGAGAATTATTATGGTCATTGTTTAAAGAGTCAGAAGATTCTTCAAGCCAAGGAATTCTCTTGTGCTGCTTGTTCTCATGGCAAGTTAATTATAAGGCCATCACCAATGAAAATTCGTACCGAGTCTCCTCAATTTTTGGAACGTATACATGGTGATATTTGTGGGTCGATTCACCCATCTTGTGGGCCATTTTTCTATTTGTGGTCTTAATTAATGCATCAACTAGATGGTCCCATGTATCTTTATTATCAACTCGCAACTGGCGTTTGCAAAATTACTTGGTGAGTTGATTCGGTTACGAGCACATTTCCCAAATAATCCTAGTAAGACAATACATTTAGATAATACCGGTGAATTTACATCCCAGTCCTTTAATGATTATTGTTTGTCAATTGGAATTAAAGTTGAATATTCTGCAGTTCATGTTCATACACAAAACGGTCTGACAAAATCGTTTATAAAGCGCATCTAGTTGATCGCGAGGCCTTTACTTATGAGAACTAAACTCCCAATATCTTCTTGGGGGCATGCTATGCTACATGCCGTAGCACTAATTCGTATCATGCCAGCAAATTATCATGAATAGTACTCTCCCCAACAATTGGTTTTTTGGTCGAGAACCAAACATTTCCCATCTTAGAATTTTTGGTTGTATGGTATATGTTCCTATTGCTCCCCTATAACGCACAAAGATGGGACCTCAAAGGAGGTTGGAAATATATGTTGGATATGAATCTCCATCAATCATAAAATTTCTTGAGCCAAAAACTGGAGATTTATTTACGGCTCCTTTTGCTGATTGTCATTTTGACGAGTCATTTTTTTCCAACATTAGGGGGGAGAAAGTAAACAGTTAGTTAAAAATATTAGTTGGAATGAATTGTCATTATCTTATCTTGATCCTCGTACAAGGCGATGTGAACTAGAAGTTCAAAAGATAATTCATTTGCAACGATTAACAAATCAATTGCCAGATACTTTTACTGACTTGAAACGTGTGACTAAATCACATATACCAGCTGTTAATGCTCCTGCCCGAATTGATGTCCCTGAAGGACCTTCTACCACAAAAATTATGAATTACGGGTAATAAAAAATGTGGTAGACTAATCGGTTCTAAAGAAAAAAATCCTCGTAAACGAAAAGGAGCAAACACTGAAGATGGAGAATTCGAGGTTGTTAAGCTTAGGGGTGTAAACAAGCCAAGCGGCTCGCAAGTTATTCGCGAGCTGACTCGGTCAAAACTAAACTTGAATTCGAGTTGACCGAGTTCGAGCCGAGCTCGAGCCGAGCTCGAGCCGAGTAATTATATTTTCGAGTCGAGCTCAAGCTAGAGCAAATTAAGCTTGGTGGCTCGTCGAGCTAAACGAGCTGATTCCTTAAATGTATTTTAAAT